GCTGCGTTAAGTAGTTGGGTTACTGTGACCATATGCCCATCTTGGTAGTTAGTATTCGCCTCTGGTTGCGTTGTGTAACTGAGTTACCGTTGCTAACTACCCATCTTCCTGTCTTTTGATTTCTCTCTCTTTGTTCTCCTGAAGAAGCTACATACAATTGTAGCGAAACGTCGAGATGAACCCACTTTTGGGTCACTCACAAATGACACGGTCCAAACCCGGAAGACGAATAAACTATAATTCTGACTCTGGCCGTGGAAGCCTACGATTTCATTTAACTGAAAGTGTATTATACGGGGTGGCTCGAAAGTTTTAACAACCTCCAGACATCGAAAAATTTCTTCTAGCGAATTTCAAAACCCTTCTAAAAACCCATAAGCCCAATATCTCCCTAAGACCCATCGTCACTCGACAAATGAGGAGTAGGCAGATTGAGACCTCAGTGCCGTTTGACGGTTCTTGTATTTCTACAGAATAAGGTACTGGTACGTCAAGAGTGAGGGGAGTAGGCAGATTGAGGCCCCGAACTCGAACAGAACCACATCCCTCTTGATATTGGCTCCAAAATGGGTGCCGAAACGTCGACTTTTAAATTATCAACGCGGTTCTTCCCGAGAACTTAGTAATTTTCATTTATCTATATAAATATGTTTCTTCTTAAAGAAAATACGACAATTATTAAATTAATAATCAATATTTGTCCCTTTTAATATTTTCCTTAAAGGGACAAATAAAAAAGCGGACACAATTAAAAATAAAAAATGATGAGGATATACTAACCCAATGTAATAGTTATATCTAGAAAGCTTCAAACACGGCATGATTCTTATAAGAACCAGTGCATATCGTCGGCAATCTGACAATACCTGCTATATGCGAAAACTTAGATTTTACAGGAAGTAAAAAACGTTGCCAATTTTAAAATCGTTTTCACCTGACCTTACAATTAATACAGTTTAAGGATTTTATTATTATACAGATATTCTACATATTTTTAGTTTAATTTTTTAAAAATATTAAAAATAATGTCAGATAGCAGGTTTTGTCACAGATTTTGCTAGAGTTAGCAGATACTGCATGATACTCATACTTTTTATTATTAACTGTTAAATGGTGTTTACAAATGTTTATTGAATGATTTGTCAAACTTAATTATCTAGTTACAAAAACAAAATTAAAATAGCGTTTAGGCACTATTTCTACCTTGAACTGTTTCTTTTAGAAGCTCGATGTGGGGTTTGTATTTCTTCCTTTTGGCCTTTTAAATAATTATCCTTTGTATATGGGGGAAGATCGTAAACCATGTGACATTCTTTTGATATGACATTCTTCAAATCTTGTAAGTGACGCCATTTTTTTTTTGAGTGATTGCCAAACGATTGTTGTATAGCTTTGGGTAATCTATATTGGATAATAAACAAAATATCACCTTCGTTCGATTACAGTTACAGTGTGTTCCGAACAAATGTTCTTCATAAAAACGCTTTATAATGCAACATATTATTGTGTATTTCTTTAAGTTAACATTAATAGAAATCTTTAAATATTATTTCTACGCGTGTATAATAAAATATGTCTAGTGGCTGTAATGCCAGTGTACTTGGCAAAGTGATTCTAAAAAAGAACACACCTACCGCCTAAATATTTCGTGTTGGTATCATGTGATGTCACGGGCTATGACGCCGATGACGTGCATCGGTATGTAAATTAGATGAAGTATAGATACGTTAGTTCAACCATTAATGTGCATGCTTATAAGTCAAAAAGATACGTTACTTATACATATTTGCTTGCACAAAAACTCTCTAATGTCTACAACAAAATTATTTCTACCAGGTTTGATTGTGAAGTTCTGATCTGGAATAATCTTTAAAAAAGTCGTGACTTAGTTGAATAACTTCATATGGATTAGGTTTTATTCTAGCCTCTTTCGACGCTTTAACATAATCACTTGGTAACTCAATAACCATATTTTTTAGTTTTCTTTAAATATAGCTATGTACTGAATCACATTCCATTTGTGTGCGACCTTTGGTAAGATATTTTTGCGTAATTGAGACTCTATACTTAACGGCAAAATTAAGAAGTGGGTTTGCCATAACATTGTTTCAGTTTTGAAATGTGCAACCGTGTGAGTAAATTACGATAGGTAGATTTTCTCTCAAGCAGTGCCTCCCTAAATAATCATTAAACAAGAAACAAAAGTAGAAGCCTGGAAACCTCACTCTACTTCTGTAAACCAGTAACGAGTAGCTTGATGAGTTGTAGTATATATGGTAAAGTTGTGGCATCTCAACTTTATTTTGAAGTATATTTTAGTGGCATTTAGTGACGGTGCTAGTTTTACAGCTTGTAAGTCCATTCTTCTTCTTCTTAAAGTGCCCTCTCCTCAATGGAGGTTGGCTACTACAATTTTAAACTCTTCTCTATCTTCAGCTGTTCTTATTAGCTGTTCAAAATTTAGCCCTGTCCATTGTCGGATGTTTCTGAGCCACGATAGTCTTTTCCTTCCTAGGCCTCTCTTTCCCTCGATTTTTCCTTTCACTACAAGTTGGGCATATTGGTACTTATTATTTCTCAGTATGTGGCCTAGGTATGATGTTTTTCTACCTTTTACTGTGTTAAAAAGTTCTCTTTCCTTGCCTATTCTATGCAGCACTTCTTCGTTTGCGGTATGCGATGTCCATGAAATTTTGAGTATTCTCCGGTAGATCCACATTTCAAAGGCCTCCAATTTATTTACGGTTGATGTTTTAAGGGCCCACGTTTCAACTGCATATAGAAGAGTCGACCAGACGTAGCATTTTGACAAACGTAGTCGAATTTCGAGTTTTATTCGAGAATCACAAAGCATTTTTTTTTATTTTTTCGAAAGATTTTCTGGCCTCTTCTATTTTCGATCTTATTTCTAGATCAGGATTTAGGCTGCTATCGATCCAACATCCCAGGTACTTAAATCTATTGACCTGTTCTAAAATGTGCCCATTTATTGTGCAAGTTTGAGGTACGTTTTGGTTTTTTCGGATTGACATCACTTTGGTTTTTTTAATGTTTATTTTCATACCAAATTGCTCACAGGTCGAGTTGGTCTTGTCGATGAGTCGTTGTAGCCCAAAGTCGGAATCCCCAATTAACACTGTATCATCGACGTATCTGATACTGTTGATATTTACGCCATTCACATTGACTCCATCCTTGGAATCCTCCAATGCTTCTTTAAATAGAAACTCGGAGTAAAGGTTAAACAGCAGAGGCGACAGAACACATCCTTGTCTAACTCCCCTCCTAATTTCTACTTCTGCGGATGTGGAACCTTCGATCCTAACTCTGGCGTTTTGGTTCCAGTACAAGTTTTTTAAGAATTTGATGTCTTTTCCATCTAAACCGATTTCTTGCAAACGTTCTAATAGGTCGTGTCTTACTCTATCAAATGCTTTTTCAAAGTCTATAAAGCATATAAATATATCTTTCTGTTGGTCGTAGCATTTTTGGGCGAGAACTAGTAAACTGAACAGGGCTTCTCTCGTTCTCATGCCGGCTCTGAATCCAAACTGATCGTCTCCGATCAGTTTGTAAGTCCATACGGAGCATAATACATTTTTTCTTACGAGCTTTAGCCTTATCTTCACGTTGTTCATTTCGAGCACTGTTTTTCTCTTCAACATGTTTATTCCATACCGCTTTGTCGATATTATTTTTTTCGTGTTCATTGCATAAGTCGCAATGATCTCTTTTGGAGGAAAATAAGGCAAGATTCATATCCGTAAACACTTGTTTAAATTTTTTTATGCCTACGAATTGTACATGTTTTTCTTTGCAAACCGTAACATAAAGATTATGCAACTGTTTTATTGTTGTAAATTCTTGTTCCAAATATATTTTGTATCTTTTCTAACATAGTGTGAAGGTTGTTTTGGTAGACTCTCGAAAAATATTTTTAAGTTTCTGTTACTCTCTTCAAAAGCATTTACTCTGTAGTTTTTGTGTTTTCTGTTTATATTCCTTTGAGATTGTAATTCAGTAGTTCCGACGACACTATTTTTCAACCAACTCTCTACTGTAAAACGTCCTAAACCAGTGATACTTAAAAACATATTTTTACAAACTTGCACTAAACTATTACCATTATGTCACCTACAAATTATTGTGTTTCCGCGTTTGTTTTCTTCTGCCTCTGTCGTCTTTCTTGAAGGTGGTTGGAGACTAACATGTACTGACACAAACACTTTCCTTTGGTTCCACGTCATATCCTTCCAAAATTTGGTAAATATTTTGTCTCTAATGTCTGCACTAAAAGTATTACAAAACCTCTTCTTGGATTTTAAGCACATATTTGAGGGAAACCTTTCTCCTTTAACTCGAGCTAGACGGGACGTTGTATATTTTTTGTGCTCTTGACAGTATGGTAGGTATTATCCTAAAATAAATAAAACTCTAATTCTTACTCTAATTATGTATCTAAACTTCAAAAAAAATTAATTTCCAAGCCCAACTTAATATAATAAAGGAAGAAGCTGTTAAATGCAATTAAAATATAAAAATTTTCTTTGCAATATCTGCTATAACCATCGCACTAGATAAAACATTTTAGTTAAAATTATATTTATAGTTAATCAAACCTACTTACCCCACAGCGTTTTTAAATGTACTGAGTTGGTACGTATAATTTCCAGTAGTTAACTAATAGAAAACACGATGATTTTCTAACGGACAAAATGTTAACTTAAGTATGTGTCTGTGTAATGTGCAGACAGTAGACAAACTGACAAATAGTAGGTATTGCCGCCACTAAATTGATATTTTGTTATGAGTAGGTATTGTTAGACCGTAATAGTCCCGATACTTGTATTTAAAAGACAGCATATTTTGTCACAATAAATGATTCATGTGTACGAAGCTCTAGACATAACAAACGTAGTTTTGAAAAAATGTCAGTTAGCAGGTATTATCAGATCGCCGACGATGTAGTATGATTTTTTAATAAACAAATTTAAGCTTACCTTTTTTACATTTTAACGCGAATTGAATAGCGTTACCTCCAGCTCCGCAAAAGGCATCGATGATTATATCACACTGGCATCGCTCAGCAGTGCGTTTCGCAACTATTTCTGGCGTTACGGAATACCAACTCTCTGAAAACATATATTCAACTACGTATATTTTGTATTATCTTTATATATCCACTCACCTTCGTCTAGTTTAATTCCCATATCGAACTTGCTGAACAAACTGAACCTCTTACGCCAATATTTTCGCAACTTGGTATTATTTTTTATCTCAGGTGGAAGCATAGGTTGTTTTCTTTTCCTTCTTTTTCTTTTAGTGGTCTGTACTTCCTCGGTCTTCTCCTCCATCGTAGGGGAAACTGATACTTCAGTAACGATCGCTTCTTCTTCGCACGAACTCAACTCGTTATCGGAACTTTCAGATAATATGTTGTGGTTTACCACCTACAAAATATTTTTTTGAACAAATTGAAACTAATAATCAAATGGTTCAAAATGATTACCTCATTGTCTTCTTTGGAATACATATTTCCATCGTCATCGAAGATAAAATGTTTCGCCTTTTTAGCTTCTGGTCGTAATTTTAAATGCCTGTTCTGTTGCCTTATGTGCTTCATCTTATAGTTTACTTCACCTGACATTAACTCCTTTGGGGGCTCTTGAAATTCCATTCCTATCAAATTAAAGGCCGCTTTGACTCTGTTTCTGCAAGAGTTGAAGTCTGAGTTTCCTTTTGCTCTGTAAATAATTACATTTAATTAAATTTATTGCATCCAGTGTCAAAATAAGAGTATTTAAAACCAAATATACAAAACACTAGCAGAATTATTGGTACTATATCCGGAATTTAGAAAAAAAAATGGATATATGAATATATTGGACATATAAATTAAATGAGCGAAATATGCATAAAATACCTCTTATAGTACCAATTCAGTTTAGTACAGTTAAGAAGATACAGGTGAATCTAAGGACTGCGATGCATTAGTGAAACTTTAAGCCAATAAGAACAAAAAAGTTGCTTGTGCTTCTCCCTTAAGGAGGCCGGTCGCCCACAGCTTCTTCTGCTTGTCATAAACAGCGACTAATTGGAGCATCTGTTCGCTCTCCACTCTACAAATTTCTAGTCTGTGTCTGTCTGATAGTGCATACTCCCAACTATCATACAACACACACTTTTATAAATCACCCATGTCCTAAGAGCGGATGTGTAGTGCTGGATGGTTTCAACGCCAACACAGCGGAGTGGGGTTTCCTGGTAACAGACGCTAGTGGACAAAAATTTATGGAAATATGGAATAGAACTCTTATGAAACTACTTATAGAATGGAACTCTAGATCTAGTTGTCTTAAACACTGGCCAGGAGCCAACATTCGTAAGGGAAATTCGCGTTCGTATATCGATGTCATCTGCGCCACACAGAATGCAGTCCGGAAAGTTAAGAGACTAATCCATCCTGCCGGATGACACACCTATTAAACATTGGCTGTTCGATAGTCTGTGTGGGGACTACCATCAAGGTTTGAAAAGAGATGTGAAGATAGTACGGATTAGCTAGTGTTTGATGAGTACTCTAGATGAATAATTAGAGGGGAAGATGCCAACCGTCATCGGCAGGAGTCGAATCAATAATAAGAGAAACCATGAGCAACTGTACGAACAGTTTAGATGAAAAGATAAAAATGCCTTATTGGTAAATCCCTCGCAAGACAGGCCACGAGGGCAAGAGAAAGAGGCAAAGAGGCTGGTAGACTAGACATGGTCAAGTGATACTGGAGACAATTGTAGGGCAAGCCGGATGAAGGCAATTTAAGTAAGGCTTTAGAAAAAACAGGAGCCAGGTTGATACGGTGATGAGTCTTCCGAGAATTGAGCAGGGTGTGGGTTGACCAGAAATAAGCGATCTTACTGCTGTTTAACGTCTGGAATGCTTTCAATGGCGTGACTCAAAATTAGAAGACATTTTTTCCGTAGCTGGGCAAAAGAAGAACTAAAGGCGTGGTTAACACAACAAAAAATTGATTACACTGACATAAGACGTAAAGACAGAAAAATATCAAAATTTTAATAGACATACGTAAGATCTAATAGTTCAGTCCTTTCAAACTGAGACTTAGTACAAAGATAAAATATCTTTGTGAAAAATGGAGTAAAGGAGTAAGAAATTAAGAAAATGACTTCATAGATTGTAACGTTATAAAGGTCACATTTTTATTAATTTATATTTAAATAATTATTTTATTTTACATTCTTTATTAATTCCTTAACCGTCAGTTTCTGTTTTTACTATTTTTTTTATTTAAAAAGTAGTTAGCGCCCTCACTTTCTCCCTCTGTCTTTCTTTCCTTTCTCTTTCTTTCCCGTAGAATAAATATTCGCCCTCTCTCTTTCTGTCCGGTAGACTAAATATTCTGTTTTATGTTGACAGAAAAGATTAGCACAGATGTCATAGGATGACATCTGTGCTAACTTCATGCAGTCCTTTCCTACTTTCTGTCAATCACGTTTAATGGTGGGATTACTTTTTGTTTATAACTGAAATTTATAAATGAAGGTGGGAATTATAATAAGCTTCATTTTATGGTCTAAAAGATTCTCTTGGGTTTATTGACGATTTTATTGACCATATTCAAGAATTAATTAAACATATTCATGGTTTACACACAAGCAGCCCATTGATGCCATCTATGCCATAAGTATCATCCTCACTAATTCATTGTTAAGCATTGGCTGGGTTGATTGTTTTTTTTTAATAAATATGATTCGTTAAAAATTGTTTTATTTGAGATAAAAACTCACACTTGAGATACTCAGCTAGGTAAAGCATAGACGATAAGCTCCCATTTTTATAATAGTACTTCAATTCTCTTTGGTAGTCTTAACGCTACAACATACTTACCCTTTGCTATCTGATTCGACAAAGTCTTGATTTTTGTTCCAGCTGGTAGATCCAAATGCTGTTGGTAATCCCATTGCGACCATTTCTTTAAAAATCGTATTTTCCTCTTCACTTTCTTCGCTCGACGAATCACATTGTGAAATATTTTGTTCTTGCTCGTCGGTTTCTACGGATTTTGATTCTGTCGACATTTTGTTGAAACTTTTATTATCTGGAAGTGGTCCTAGAGTTTTATCAGTTCTGTTAAGGTCCTTAGGTTTATCTAAAAAATACACATATTTGAATAACAGTTGGTATGTCTAAGAAAACCGTGGTTATTGAATACAATACATTTTAGTCGCTTGAGAAATGATTTTTTATAGGAAAAAAGGGGTTTTTTATCTTACAAACATAACCTCTGAGGTTATTCCATAAACAATGGCATACAGTCAAAGTATAAACGTTATAAAAACAATTATTTACCTACGGTGACAATCCCGATCACAGACTGTATAAACTTATTGTAATGTTCTAAGTATTGATCTTCGTAGTGTTTTTTCCACAAATGGTTCCATTGGTGTTGGTAGTCTTCTTCGGATTCTTCCGAACTTACTGAGCTATTGACGGAACTAACGGAGGAAAAACTATCTGAACTAGGAGTACTGTTGCTTAGGTCTATGGAAGAAACGGTCATGCGAGTAACATTGGTGATCGAATCGATGGTTCTCAGAGAGCTGCTCGTTCGCGAACAACACCTTGAAGTTAACAGTCGTTCCGCTTCTGTTTCTTCATCTACACTAGAAGGGGAGAGCGGATTCCAACCTAAAATGATCATTTTTTATTTATAAAATTTATTTTTATTATTAGTCATGGACATCTAAATTCCACTAATGTCTTCACCTGTGACACTGGAGCAACTGCATTAGTCAGGATAGTCAAATACTTGGCCATGGATTTGGACAGACAACATAGTGTTTGGGCACTCTATTTGTCCCGGAATTGTGAAATAGAATTACAAAGCCTACTAGAATCACATAATTATACCAACACAAAAGTACGCACAGCCATAAAACGACAAATTTCAACATCTTCTGAAATAACAGAGTCAGAAAAACAACAAATAAAAAAGAAAACACCCCAAGTATCTTTAGAAACTGATACTGTAAGTGCCAAACGGTACTGTTCAGATATAGTTACACCTCCCGCTAAGGAAGTATTGGATCAACCTTTTGTCGTGCCCAAAAAGGAAGGGACCAAAAATGAAGAAAAATGTGTAGCAAACCAATCAGCAGAATGTAGCATGCTCTGGTTGCCAATACTAAAAGGAGTCAGAAACAAGAAGATACCAACAATAGCGGATTAATAGAACGTCAGAGAGACATTAACTTCAATAATACATATACAACACACAATACATAATCATATAATACATAAACACATAATAAATAAACACAAAATAGTCAGAATTTGATATCATCCCTGTACAGTACAAACACCACCCTCAGAATTTTCAACTAAAAGCATTGCTATTTGCCTACAAGATCGAGGCCAAGTAAATCACCTGTCAATTTGGAAAATATAACCGTCAAACTACTTTGGTTATAATTAATAATATAATATATAATTTAATATAATCTTTTCTGACAACGATTTCTTTAGTGGAAATCGAAACGTCAAACAACAATAATTATTATAAAATAAAATTTTCATTACAATCAATTGTGGCTTAATCCCCTATAAACATAATATTTAACTGAGACATGCATAAGAAAACAGTTTCAGAACTATTTAAAATTTAAAATAGACTGAGGCATGTGCCTCACATGCCACAGTCTATTTTATGTTAATGAAACTAATCTGCAACACCACTATTAGCAGATTTTTGTATTCCTAATACCAACCTTCTGATATTTCTCCAGAAATTTTCTCGTCGCTACCCGATAAGGTACGCAAAAGCATGTGATTCCTGGAGTTACTTTCTTTTTTAGACGGTTCTTGACACTTGTCGATGGGTTTCAAACATGCTTGTTGCAATTCTGAACTGAAATTTTGAAGTTCTTTCTCGTTAAATGTGAACTTTTTGGGATTATAGACGAACGTGTCGTCAGTAACATTTTCAACTAAAACAAAAGAAATTTAAAAAATAAAAATATAGGCACAGTGTGTACTATAAATTGTATTTAAAATTATGCAAGTAATTTAACTACGAATAACTAAATACACTCCGCGTCATAGAAAACGGACCACCCCAAATATTTAAAATATTTTCGAAATTATTATTTATTGCTACAAAGTAAAGCATTTATTTTTTTGTATATTGAATTAATATTATTTTATTTTTAATGTGTCTTGGGTTATTTATGTTGAATGTGTTGTTGCTACAGCAAACCGACCCTGTAACCGGATTGAGGACATTCGTAGAACCTATAAAACAAAACAATTTTGAGAATCAGTTGTTTACAGCTTGATCAATTTGAGGAAGCGATTGTTTTGAGAAATGTATGATATTGTAAAGAGTTCTAATGAGTTTTAAACGAATCTCAGTATTACAGTAGCCGACTTAGTGTGAAGTAGTCTTGAGTTAATAACGATGGAGAATTTTCAAAAATCTGTTGAAATTGTAACGTTACAGGGAAGTAGATTAACTCAAAGTGAAGTTGCAAGACAATTGAATGTTAGTCGTTCGACTGTACAAAGGACCCAGCAACGATTTATTGTGACAGGATCTCACCAACGACGACCTGGTACGGATCAAAAAGGAAAACAATCGCTAGGGAAGATCGCTTTGTCATTCTTGCTGCATTACGGAATCGAACCCAAACCACTAGAATACTTCAAGGCCATTTACAGCAAGATCAAGGACCAGCAATCAGCCTTTCTACTAATCGGCGAAGATTAAGGGAGCAAGGTTTGATAGCTTGCAGTCCAGCAACGGGGTCGTTACTTTCCCCAGCTCACAAAAGACGGAGACTCGATTTTGCCCGTGAGCACATCAATTGGACAGCAGATGATTGGAAAAAAGTATTGTTTACGGATAAGTGTAGAATGTCTATGTATAGTAAAAACGGACGCAGTAAAGTGTATAGACGGGCTGGAGAACGTTTCGCTGGTTGCACTTGAGCAACACGGGTTGCTTTTGGTGGTTGTTCAGTAATGTTTTGGGCAAGGATTTCTTTTGATGCACATACGGATCTCGTCATGATAGACAGAGGTGCTTTAACAGCAGTAGAGTACATAATGGAAATCTTACAACATCATGTGATGCCCTATCTGATGCTGGATTTATTGGCAACGAATTCCTGCTAATGCAGGATAATGCGAGACCACACACGGCAAGGATAGTAACGGAGTACCTTGACGAGGTTAGTATCCCAAAAATAGACTGGCCGGCTCAAAGCCCCGATTTAAATCCTATTGAGCATATATGGAGCCTGCTAAAAAGTCGCATTAGGCCTCGCATACCTGCTCCAACAACACCTGGAGAGCTTCAGATAGCACTCATTTAGGATAGCACTCCATTTGTCTTAAATTTTTTATTTTCGATTTATGTTTTACGATAATAATGAAATTTTATACTAAACGAGTTATTGATTCAATATACAAAAAAAATAAATGCTTAATTTTGTAGCAATAAATAATAATTTCCAAAATATTTTAAATATTTGGGGTGGCCCGTTTTCTATGACGCGGAGTGTAGTTAGGTTAAGTTTTAGTTTTTCCATGCGGTTTTTATGTAGACTATTTCGAGAATTTCCTTTGCTTCTATTTACGTCGCGAATATGTATTTTTAAATATTAGATAGATGTAGTCAGTAGTGCTATGTGTTTATATGTTTATTTTACTTTTGTAAATTTTAGATAAGTACCTGACATTATGGAATACACTTACCTAACAGGTTATAATTCTCTCCCACCTTTTTCTGAGCATATGGGAGGTATTCAGGGTTAATGTATTGGCTGTATTTGTCAATCCAAGATTCCCATATGAGCTTTTCCCCGTTCAATGACCAAAATTTTTGCCAATCGGAATCAAAGTCATGTATTAATTGTTCAGTCAGATCTGTACCGCTGTCGCTTTGCTGAATTCCTTTCGGCGGAGGGGGATTATGTATTTCACGTAAACTTTCGTGTTCATCAGTCGAAAGATTGTCTGTGTGAGATGCGCTGCAGTAACAGCTGACGCCTTCGTGGTCGTTCTACAAAATAAATTTTAGAAATTAACACAAATCACATAAAATCCAAAGCTGATTATCAATCAATAAATCATATAAATAACAGAGTAGCTCCGTTATAGTGTTTTCGTAATTGCGACGGAGTAATAAAATCGTAGGATCGAGCAGTTTGAGGTGTGGGTACCCATATTAAGGGAGACCGTCGTACCTTGACCATAGCGTACCTTGTTCCACAGTCAATATCCGACTAGTGCCGCTAAAGACCGAGTAATCGTCGTACCTAGGAAGCCATGCTACATTCGTATTGCATTTTACGGGGTTATATGACCATTCGCCGTCTTTGTCGGAAGTGGTGATAATTGTATTGTTTTTGTGAGCAAAAGTAAAGATTTTCAAGTATAGTAAGTGTGGGTGGAATGTGCAAAACAGTATCAACTAGATAACTAGCATAGACTTGTCCTTTTCGCTTAACATTTCACTTATTTCAAATTTCTCCATGATGTACTGAAGACGTTCAAACCGTAACTAAAGTAACACTATTGAAATATGCACTATCGCTATTTCTTATAAAATTTCAGATATAGTACTGGTAGACAGGGTTCTCGTGAAATAAAGTTGTCACCGCGCATATATAAATTGGAAAGTAGGGGTTGAGCCACTTCAAGCAAAGGCATTCGTGCGCCGGACGTTCTACGGGTAGCTGTTCGATATTTTTACAGTGTTGCATTGTTTCTTTTTATTTTAGTTGTACTTGTTCTATACAAAAGTTCTTTTCAGAACTCTGCTAAAATTAAAAATTTTAAAGGTAAGAAGATAATTTTTTAATTTATATTATTTATTAATATGTATAATAAAAATCAAATATATTTTTTTTGCTGCATATAAATTGTACATTGTGAGATACAATTGTAGCGTTTTCTCTACTCTGCTATTCATTTCTCCTTTTAGAGTTCTTTTATTCCTTTTTGTGCATAATTTTCTTAATCATTTCTTTTATCCTTAATAATTTTGTCCTTATATATTTTAAATACTGTTGGGCTAAGTGCTCCTCCTGTCTTAACCTCGATGTATTGTAAACGTATGTGATATTGAATTATTACTAATTACGACATTGTTGTTCTCATTGTATATTCTTAGTAGCTTGTTGTTCATTCCTTTTTCTCTTGGTATTTTCCGTAGTTTCTGTTTTGGTACGTTATTGAAGGCTTTTTCTCTTTTGTCGCTTTTTGTGTTATATGTTTTAAATTAAATATATATGATCCTGTATATTTCTACAACTTCTAAATCCACTTTGTCCTTCGTCTGTGTGTGTTCTAACATTATTCTTAATAGTTTGTTTATTATTTTTTCGAAGAGTTTCATACATGTACATATCAACGTCAATCCTCGGTAGCTATTACATTCTCTCCTATCTTCTTTTTGGTATATGGGTATTATTGGTGACACTTTCCAATCTTCCGGGATATTTTCATTTTTCCGTGTTATTTATTCTTTTTAGTAATACTTGTTCTCCATTTTTTTCCATGTTTTTTTTTATAATTTCTGTTGTTATTCTCCAGGAGCTTTTTAATTTTAATTTTATTTGTTTGTTTCTATTGGTTGAGTCTTTTTGAGTCAATAAAGTCATATACTTTAAAATGTTGATATAATATATGGCTGAATTTTTAATATGAATGAGTCAGATAAGTTAAATTATTAGAATAATTTTTTTACCAAGCAACAAAAACAATGGAAGTCGTCAAATAAATTTAATTTCAAACTTAAATTGTGGCTTACTGCCAAATAAAATAGTAAATTGCATAATCTACCACAAGCAAATAGCTTCCGAACAATATCATTTTGTTAGGTAGTACGATACTAAAAATTCCCAATATTACTGTGATCATCCACATCTTGACAACATTGCAAACATTTTAAGATCTAGCCAGTGATTATTCAACGTGAATTCACGCGTAAATGTTCGGGTATGTGCATCCTTTTTTGATTTTAAACTTTCTCACTCTGCGCAGTGCAAGCTCCGCCCATTTCACGGCATCCCTGTCGGCCTGTACTAACTACAAATCTTTTCTAAGAAATAGGTATATCACTTGCAATTTCTGATACAGAAAACCCAATCAAATATTGAACAAGGGAATATGAACTCTAACATCATAATACTTTAGTGGTAAGAAGTAGTTTTGTATTTAGATAACTACAATGCATTTTACAAGGTAAAATTGAAGGAAAAAGGGCCCCAGGACGAAAAAGAATATCCTGGCTTGCTAACCTAAGAGCATGGTATAAAAAGTCCTCAACACAGCAACCAACAAAGTCATCATAGCCAGAATGATCGCCAACGTTCGGAACGGACAGTCACCCTAAGAAGAAGAATTACAAAGTTTGACAAATATTTATTAAAATTTTATTAATAAAATGTATCAAAATACCTGCTTTATGAAGACAACATTCTCTATTTACGTTGACACTGGCTATTCATTATATTCAAATATACGGCCGGAGCGAATATAACTGTGACTCTTTTCTATAGGGTATTCAAATCTGAGCGCCGGAGCGAACTAATAAATGCCCCTGTTGACGATAATTTTGAAAAGACAAGTTATATGACAGGTATAAGCAAATCAACGATATATAACGATATATCAAATTCGAAGTAAATTAAAAATAAGAAGAAAAGTTCTGTAATCAATGAAGATCCATATCTCCCTAAAATGGGACAGACAAAACTATGAGAAACTCTAAGAACTGAAGTTCACGTGGACAAAACATCATAGAAAACAACTCTTATTGATAGTGATAAAATTGTTTTTTGGAGACGGAGATAACTCAGAACCATTTTTAAATTATGTGCAGAAGGTAAACCAATATTTTATTTAGACGAAACCTGGATGAATGAGGGTTTCACTGTGGGTAAAATGTGGCAGGACTCACGTTCAATCTTCACATGCTTTTTTGTAAGGATTATCTGCAGAAGGCTGCCTCCGGAAAGGGACGACGTCTAATAATAACACATATTGAAAGTGATAAAGGGTGTTTAGAAGGTGGTTCTTTCATATTTCAATCTAAAAAACAGGAGACTACCATGAATATATGAACAGTGATGTTTTTGAAGAATATTTTCAGCAGATGATGGAACTGTTAGGTACCAAAAGGTTCGATTGTAGTAATTGATAACACTAGTTACCATTCCCCTCAAATTGAATGTCTGCCAAATCCTCCTTGGACGAAACAGGATATCACCAACAGAAACATTAGTTTCTCAGAAAAATCTGTATAAATTGCTACAAATTGTAAAATTAAATAAGCCTTCAGTAATGCACTTTCGGAAAAATAGATGATATTGATGTTGTGCGCCTTCCTCCCTATTACTGCCAACAAAATCCTATCGAACTGGTATGGGTACAGGTTAAAAGATATATAGCGCGACATAATATAATACGGCATTTAAATTAAAAGATGTAAAAGCATTGTTAGGAAGTTTAGAAAGAGCATCATATTTTTATAAAAAAAATCGAAATTTGTTGATGTTGTATAAAAATGAAATTTTGAAAGACAAAAAGGTTAAAAATAAAAATGTGCAATACCCCTCCTAAACGAGCCGCTAATGACTGCAATTAAAAAAAAACGTATTTACGCCAAACGATTTGGTACATTCCACTAATTAAGTCTACACATTTCTTAAAAGACATCATCATCATTGGTTCTACAACCCATAGTGAGTCTTGGCCTATTCTAGGATCAGCGTCCATTCCTTCATTTCTTTCGTCTTGGTTTTCCAATTTAGTATTTTAACACTCGTAAGTCCTCTTAACCTGGCACTTAAGTCGTGCTCTATGCCTGCCTCTTCTCCTCACTCCATCCTGTCTTTGGTTATAAATATGTTTCAACAGCCCCATCTCATTCATTCTTTTTAAGTAGCTAAGCCACCACAGCCTCTTTATTTTGATGGACCTACCAATACTAGGTTCACTGTAAAGGTGGTAAAGCTCAAAATTATACCGCCTACGCCATAATCCGTTTTCCTGCATTTAGAAGACAACCATTTTGAAGATATTTGGAAAAGAGGAAAATCTCCAACATGCAATTTTTAGCCCACTTCTAAAACACGTTTACCTATAACTTATGTTATGTTTGTCCATAACCCTTTGTGTCTTAAAAAGTTTTCTCCATACATTGTAAATCCTATAGTAAATCTTTAGTAAGAATAATTTTCTTTTTAATCCAAAAAACAATAGTTTTAAGTATTTGATTTAAGATAATTTAACATATACTTACTTCTGATTTAGCAGTAATGTTTTGAATCGATAAGTCTTCATATATTTTGCTTAATTCTTCATCAAACTGATTATCTTCCTCAGATGCACTTTGCTCAGATGATAAAAATTGTTTAGAAGAAAATTTTGTGCTAAAAAAAGATTCATAAATAAAGGATATCTTTAAATGACAAATTAATACGAATATAAATAATTATAATGAAAGCGCACAGAAGATTGAAAAATCAGACCTTAACTGACTTTTCCGTTATTTGCCTGAGGATAAATATGGTATCTGTACAATTGATCATAGTTTTCTGTTATTGTTATATTTTAGTTACATCTTAGCTAAATTCATCTCAATAGCTCTGTAGGAAAGGTTTGTGATGTGATTGCTACTTGTATTATGAAGGTAAGTTAAGAATCCATTCCTGTTAATTCTTGGTTTATTTTTTTTTGAGCTGCAGATACTGAAAATATATTTATTATTTTTTGTCCCGACTTAATTTTAACAGGTAAGATTGGAGGAAAATATGTGACACCCCACCCCATTACAGCATAATGTGATATTCCAACTAAGCTATTTTTTCTAGGCATCAAAATTACTTAGCTAGTTCAGATTGATTAAAAAATGTTATGAATAGAAATCCACATTTAACTCTAAGAACACCGGAAGCCATGTTATTAAGTCAAGAAACATCTTTCAACAGGATTAACATTGGTGCCTTTTTTGAAATGTACCAAGGGCTTCTCCAAAAGTACAGATTTAGTGTTTCTCATATTTGAAATATTGACAAAATCGACTGTTCAAAAGCTTAAAAAGATAGTAGCTGCCTGAGAACAAAAGCAAGTATGTGCCATCACATCTGCTGAGAGAGGAACCCTTATAACAATTGCTTGAGCTAGTTCTTTTATTACTTGATAATCATAACTTACATGTGAATATTAGTGTTACCGAAAAAGCAAAAGAAAAATTTTTATCATTTTCTTCTCATTGCTCCCATCATCTTTAACCCTTAGATGTTGGAGTCTATGGTCTATTTAAGAACTATGTTAACAGAGCAGATAGCGTCCTTGGTGTAGTTAAGCAGTATATGATATCCCTGCAAATATATGTAAGTGAATTTAAATCATCTAGTATTTGGCCTTTGAATGCTAATATATTTAAGATAGTGTCTTTGCACCATCTTATGTTACTGAATGGCCAAATCCTGTAGAAGAATTAGAAGCAAACAAAACATTAAACATTGGATCTTCAAAATTTGGAACAACTAGATTCTGCTCCTGAATTGGATATCAACACCAATGAAATAATACATACCATGGAAATTGCCGCTGAACCAATCCCAAGTTATTCAGGTGTTCAAATGAATGTTTAGCCCTCAAAGATTAGACCTTTATCAAAGGCACCTCAGTGGAAACAAAACACAGTGAATAGACACAAAAGAAAATCGAAGTGTTCTGACAGATACAACTGAAAAACCAGCTTTAAGAATTGAGTATGAAGAAAAAATTTAAAAAGGAAGAAACAAAGATATATCTAGAAAAAAAGAAAAAAACAAAGAATGAAAAAGAAAAAGGCAAGGGTAAAGAAAAATCAACAAAAATAGAAGAAGGGGTAAAAAGAGTTAAAAAAGAATCTTTAGTTCTGACTCTCAGTCAGAGGGTGATGAGGATGATGAAACAGTAAAAGGTGAATAGATGAAATGTACTGTGTGTTGTAAGCAGTGGGCACATGTCGTGTGCAACAGAAAATGTTAGTTTAACCCTTGTGATTCTCTGTAGCTTTCCAAGCATGGAATAAGGTCTGTTCATTTTGTGACCTGTGACAATTCTCTTAAAAAAGCACTTGATTAGCTTGCACTAAATACCCTTCATTTTGTTTAGTTAGTTGGAACATCATGCATCCATTTTTATTGGTAAATAAAATAAGATAACTTGTTAGTTATTTTCATAATAACTTAATGACAGTAAAAACCAATATTGGGATAAATGGCATCCTTATAGATAAGAGAGCACTCACACAAACAACCTTACCATTCAGTAGTCAAATGAATAATGAGGGATGAAATCTACATTAAAAAGGGAAAAAAACTAAATAGTGTGACAATAACCTTTTGTAAAAGTTGTAGTTATAAAAATATTCTGTCAAAAGGTCATACTTGTCACTCTTAAAGCATAAATCTATGCTACTGATAGATACTAATGTGATTTGATTTCAATTTTTGTTATAAGGGCATTAATTTGGTGTTTAATTAAAAAGATCAAGAAACCAAAAATATTTATTAAGCTTAACAAAAACTACACATTATTTAATTCTATTCCTTCTTTGTTCTTCCATATCAGAAGCTTTCTTCCAAGAAGCCTCATCCAAACCAGATTTCCCCTCTGATATAGCTATTAGTCTTGCTAAGATGAGCATATTGTGTAGATCGTCTGCAGTGGTTTCACTTCTATTTTGCCGCATTTTCACAAACTCATTCTGTATGAAATTCTCTACCTCTTCTGTAATTATGTACTCAGTCATTCTTGCAAGAGTTAAATATTTTCTAATCTCATTTAATAAATCAGGTTTAAGAAAATGTTCAGCAGCTTCAACTATTTCTTTAAAAGTATTAATACATATTTCGTCTGGTTGTAAAGCAATGTGGACATCACTATAAACCATGGACTTACCCTCTGATAATACAAGGAAGGGTATATCACAATGAAACTCCAATGGATAAAATTTAAAATCATATGAAACTGTCTGATGTTTAATAGCAGAAGAAATCGCTTTGACATTATTTATACCAGATTCATTCAGTTTTCCTGGAGTTAATTTGATTTCATCAAGTATAAAATGAGTATTGTCACTTAACTGAAGCACACCTGAAGACAAATAGTTCAGATCATAGTCTTTTTTAGGAATAAAAGTCAAATCATTTAGATTTTCTAAAGTCATAGGAAAATAAAGACTTTTTGTTACTAGTTTTTCTATAAACTTATATAATTCACTTGGGTAATGTACATTAGGAAGATTAGGTACATTAGATATATTTAAAGACAATTTTCCAAGTGCTAAACCATCTCTCCTCAAATATACTTCAGACAGAAGGTGTAAAAGTAAATATTCTGCAGTTAATGAATCCCCTAAAAGTAACTGTGTTAACACAAGTAGTAAATCTTTACGTACTATATTAAAATTGTCTTTGCTTGCATGATTTATTTCACTATTCACTAAAGGGTTATTATGCTTCAATTTTGTAAAATGTACACAGTGAATCTTTGGTATAAAACATGTTGACTCTTCAGTTTCCATATCACCATTACACATATTTGCATTTGTTGATGGATCTATATCTAAAAATCCAACAAACTCACAAACATCATTGATTTTTAATTGATCTTGATCTTTATACAATTTAATGTGAAACACTTGATTTTGATCATTTATCAATGTATCTGAAAGTGGAAATATATCATTTTTCTGACTTGAGACTGGTTTATTTTCTACAGACTGAGTTGATTCACTACAGACTTTCTTACTCTCCGAATTTTTGCTAGTAGAGGGACCAATTATTTCTTCGGCATCCATGCATTCTTCATGAATTCTTTTACCACTAGACATGTTTGCAGCAACATATTTTGTAGGTTGGATTGTATGCTTTTCTTCTACAGATCTTACCCAACTGTTTTTTGCTGGTATTGATATAACCACAAATGTCTGCCTTTCAGAAGTAATATTAGAATCGTTATGAAAATTAATTTGCTTGTTTTCTTTCACTCTGATACACTCCCTATATTTTCCATTAACCCAGCAACTCTCTTTTGTATTTTCATTCACTACTTCAAATTTTTCCAAATAGTACTCAGGAGAATGCATATCTTGAATCATGCCATGAAATCTGACCAATTTTAAGTTTCCCAAATGTTCTAATTTATTTACATTTAACAAAGGTATTTTGTTCCTGAAAGTTGCATCCTTTAATAACTCCGAAAAGTTTTCTTCATTTTCCGAAAATTGAAGTGGGGTTATTGTTTGAATATCCATTTTAAAATAACAATTTTTGAATTTAGTATACACTATCAGAATTGAAAACAAAATTGTAAATTATTTATAACAATTTGGCGCCTTTAAAACTAATTTTAGGTTATACACGATTGTTGTCATTCATTTTGTTTGTCAAAAATATGGTCTTTTATATATAAGATGACAGTTACCATTTTGGTACAATATAAATGTAAAATTGAACCAAATGTTTTAAATGAATAATCTTAAAATGTACTTTTAATTGAGTTGTTGTAATATACTTAATATATAGGAATTGTTACATCAAATTCGTCTATAGATTTATTTTCTGTATGAAGAAAGTAAGTTTCTTATGTATGAGGGGGAAAGATCTCTTTAAAATTAAGTATTATTATTTATTTTTATTTATTAACGGATATACCATTTACATTGGACCAAAATATAATATATAAAATTTTACAAAGTAAACATAACATTGGAAAATAATTAGTAAAGTTTAACAAAAACTAATAATTAATTTGAATACAAATTAATATCACACAAATAGTAGTCTTTTTATCACATTTTAAAATTGTTCTAAGGACTGATCACTTTGGTACCCATTATATAGTCTCACCATATGAGTAAGAGGCTTGAAGTATTTAAAATTAAATTGATGAAATGGTAGATGAAAGAACAAACTATGCCTAGTTTCCTGAAGAGTGTTAAGACATAATCGATTTAAAAGTTTAGGGTAATTTATCAAATTATTAGCAATTTTGTAAAGAAATATTAGACAAAAATAATCTTTTCGCTTCATAGAAACTATTTTCAAGTGATCAGCTATCATACTATAACTGTATGGGACAGAGAGGTCATGAAAAGCAATACAGTAATGACAGTGTTTAGCAAATTTATGCTGAACACGATCAAACTTGTCTATAGATGTTTGATAGTAAGGTCCCCATAAAACTATTGCATATTCTAGTCTGGAGCTAATGAGACTATTAAAAAAAATTGGTAAAACAAAACATGAAAATTGAGAAGTGTTTCTAGTTATAAACCCTAATTGTTTAAATGCACTGTTTACTGTGAAGTATGAAGTCAGTTGATCATCAGGATGATCAGGTTTTATCATTGGATCTGCATTTTCCTTGATAGGGTCTGGATGTAAATTAACTGGAGGAACTAAAAATTGGATACACAGCAGAAGATGTAGGGGAGGTTCTTGATATTGTGGCTGATAACAAATTACTTCTGGTTCATTTACAAAGGTTACATTCTTTTAGACAATAGCCATCATCAATTTGGGCTTGGTAATGTAACAATCTACACTCTAACAATTGTGCCAAATTTTCAAAGTTTGTTGGTAATACCTTACTTGTACTATCTCTCCCAGATTTAACTTTCTTGCACCAGGGGGTTGATTTTCTGAAATTTTGGTTGACATAATGTGTTCAGTTTGATTCTTAAACTGCTGCTTAAGTACAGTTCAGCTGGTGATTTCCCACTGGAAAGTGGTATCTATATTTTAAAAAATTTCTTGTACTTTCTCATTCATGGGTATACTGTATACTATACTATCAGTAGACATAGCTTTTAGAATTTAAATGTTTAATTCAGCTAAGCCATTTTTAACAAGATTCACACAGAAAAATTTCATGTACTTTTGAAATTTTCTTCAATTGATCTCTTACAAAAATTATAGTGTCTAATACCACAACTTAAGAATATCCATGAACAGAACATATCTTTATCAGAAGATCAACAGTTTTTTCTGATTTTGTTGCATACCTAAGAACTTTGATTTCAGTCCATAGTGATTTAGCTTCAACCACTACCAATAAATAAAAACCTTGGAATGGACCAGTATAATCAATATGAATGTGGTCCCAATTTTCTGTTGTAATATCCCAGTGATGTCGTGGAGCTTTTGAAGGTGATTTTCAAATTTCAGCACAAGGTTGACCATAATTTCAATATCTTTATGTATGTTTTTCCAATAGCAATATTTTCTTGCATGTTGCTTCATATTTGTAATGCCTATGCTAGTGCTATGGAGTTCTGATACAACCAATTGTTGGACTTGAGTTGGAATGACAATTCTCTGACCTTTAAAAAGGACCTCATCTTCTAAAGTGAAATCATATTCATTTTAATTTTGTGATTTTAAATTTAATTTAATTCTTGATAAAATAGCATCTTTATCTGTGACATCTTTAATACTTGGTAGGTTAGATCATATGTTCAAATTTCTTTTATTGATTCATGGCAGATGCATTTAATTTATTCATTAAGCATTTTTTTTTTCAAAAGAAGGTTGATTAATAGAAGCTCTAGAAAAACAGTTGACTTAATGTGATCAGAAGGTTTTCTGTATTAAACTTCATAATGAAATCCTGATAAAAATGATGCATATTGAAGTAGTCTAGCAGAGGTCATTGAAGGTATAGTAGCCTCGTATTTCCGTGAGACTGTGCAAAAATATATGTATCTGTAATAAAATCATTCAACAAAAAGGTGCTCTACCAGGAGTCTGTAAAATTATCAATGACTCAGACATATAATAATACAAAGTTTTAAAAAAGTTGGACAAATAATAACAAAAAGTGTTTCAACTCAGTACCACCCAATAAAAGAAAGAGAATTATAATTTTACACTGCGGTGGAGAAAATGGATGGGTCGACGATGCATTATTAATATCTACAATTATCATGACGATATGGAAAGTTCAATTTTTGAATCATGGTTTGAAAAATGTCTTCTTCCGAAATTACTTAAAGATAGTGTGATTATCACGGACAACGCATCATATCATTTAAGATTAATGAAAAAAATTTCAAATAATAGTTGAAATAAATTAAAAATTCAGGATTTTTTATTCACGGAAGATTTGTATTTTGAGACATCTTATATTAAAAAGCAATTGTTGGAGGTTGTTCATAGTAAACAGTGTGAAAAGGAATATGTTGTTGACAACTGTGCTTGTAGTAACGGGCATACTGTGTTTAGACTTCCTCCTTATTATTGTACATTGAACCCAATAGAGTTAATATGGGCTCAACTTAAAGGAAATATAATGAGAAGAAACATTGCTCCAAAATTTTTTTGTCTACTGTTCTCCAGTTAATTAGAAGAGAAGTCACAAAAATTACAGCAACCAACTGGAAAAATGTAATAAAAATAAAACATGTGATCGGAGTGGAAAATAACTATGTTAAATATTTACCAGCATTAACCAAATTACATATAAATTTAGATGTTACGAGTGATACTAGTGATAACAGTGATTCTGAGTAGATAGTAAGTACTTATTAGGTGTTAGTTGAAACCTTTATTTCTATTTTAATTGTAGATATTCTCATTTTGCTTATATATCTTTGAAAACAGGGTATAAACACACTTCTTGATAGGACAAAAATTATTAATGTTTTGTATAAAGTTCTCTTCAGTCGAGTCGATTAGTGTTATCACTCCCAAGATATATCACAGAAGTTCAAAACACCGATATTTTTTATTTAAACTTTATAGAAAATGAAACTTTTTGGTAAATAAAATTAAATAAAAGTAAAAACTTTTATTTAATTTAAAATTAGATATCTACGCTACTGTTCTACTACTATTTACTCCATAAAAGGAGTGGTAACTCTAACAGCGTTTCCATTTTACTAGTATTTTGCTTGTTTTGGTCTCTGTAAATTTTCTCACAAAATTACGTGCCGACTATAACTTCAAATTTTGAAATGGATTTCTCATATGAATTGCTTTTTTAATAATTCTAACTAATGATAATATTGTTATGAACCATGGCGTTTAACCCTGTGATTTAATTGTTGCTCTAAAGAAAGTTTTTTAAATATAACACAAATTGCAGTTTTATTATATAAAACAGATTATCTTTTCAAATTGAACTGTAAAATCATTGGATGTTGGGCACATATTTGCATATTGTATACTTTTAGATTTTATATGTGGATTTCCCATCCTTTTATGTATATATTTTTAAACACATGAAACAACATAATAAAAATGATGAAAGTGTTCCTTTCTTATTTTTTGGTAAAAACAAAATAATATATAACAAATGTTTATTCTACATTTAATTTAGGCATGCACACGATAACCAAATAAAAAATATATATAAAATTAGACTTGAATGGTTTCTAGAACCAAAAAGATACATATATTTACTTATTAAACTAATTAACTAGAAAAATAAAATTTAATTTATTACAAAACAAACCTTTTAACTCATATATATTAGTACTACTCACAATTGGATATATTAAATTTTAAAAGTTCATTTCTAGCTTGGAAATATCCTGTATCAGTAACATCATAAGGTTCGGGTATAAAAGGAGGTACAGTTGTTAATAAATTATCCCAGTCAATATCTTTGAAGGCATCCATATTCACCATATCTTCTCCAGTAGCTCTTTTTTCTGGATCTGAGGTTAGAAAACATTCTATACTATGAACCACACTATCTGATAAGGCTTCATCATCAGTAGGCCACTCTAAATTGTTTTCTAAGATGTTTTTAAAAATCAACTGAGGTGTTAGGTCATGAAATGGTGGAATCCCAGTTACAAATTCATAGAAACAGCAGCCAAGAGCCCACCAATCAACTGCATGATTGTGGTCTTTTTGTAAAAGTAATTCTGGAGCAAGATAGTCTGGAGTTCCTAATATTCTTTGATTTACACTCCAATGAAGTCTTTTTATAGATTTAGGAGTGCGGAAGGGAGTCCTTGCAGTCTTTGGTGTTGTAGAAGTAGTTGCTATAGGACTCATTATCTGAATATTTTCATCAGTTAACTTGATATTTTCAGGAAACGTATTCATTGGTAGTTCAAATCTAGTTGGTTTATTTTTACACTTTTGGGCAGAAACAGGAGTTGAAAATGTAACTCCTTTAGGTGAATCCAATCTAATCATTTCAATATCTCCTGTAAGTCCAGTCCTAAGAAAGGCTTTTCTTGATAATTTTGGAGAAGGGGACCTCAGCTTTCTTTTCCTTTCATTAATATCTTTAAATTTATATTTAGCGCATGTTTTTCTACTCACTGGTGAATGTGAGCTTGAATTATTGCCTGTACATTCTTGACTACTCTGAAATGTGTAATAGGAGGTGTCTTGGTTTGTGTTATTACAATCAGCAGAGAGGTATGTAAAACCAGATAACACAGAAGAATTAGTAACATTGTTGGAAATATTTTCTTTCACATGTGATACCTCATGTTTACTAATAGCACTTTCACACTGTGTGTCCATAAAAGAGTCGGAACACATAGCAGCACTGTTAATGTTTTTTGAATTCGCAGAACCAAAACTAAAATGAGACATTAGACTCAAGAGTTGACCAGGAGTTCTTTTACAAACATTTGGAGTGAAGTTTTCAAAATCAGATATCTCTAGATCTCTGTCTATGTGAACATTTGACAAACCAAAGTCAGTCAACTTAACATGGCCTTCTTTGGATAATAGCATATTGTCTGGTTTGATGTCTCGGTGAATTATGTTGTGTTTATGAAGATATTTAAGAGCCAAACAGACTTCTGCTATGTAAAATATTGCTGTTGATTCATCAAAGAAACTATACACACTGAGAAGTGATTTTAAGTCCCCTCCCACCATGTATTCCATGACTAAATATATCGAAGTAGCTGTTTGTAACGAATAAAATAGTTGTACACAAAAAGGGCTTTTTGTAAGGGCCAAAGCATTTCTCTCGTTCTGAACTTGATTCACCATATTTTTATTGATCATTTCAGTTTTCTTCATTACTTTGATGGCATACATAACATCAGTATTATTTTTCTTATATCCTAAGAACACTTTCCCAAAGGCTCCTCGACTAATGGGCTTTAAAATAACAAAATCGTGTATATCAGGAATTTTTGTGCCTTTGCTTTTTTCTATGCATTTAATTTTATCTGGTTCTGTTGTCATCGTTGTCCAAATAATTCAATGTCTATTTTTATTCTTGATAAATTAAAAAATAGCATTTACCAAATTATCAACAAAAAGGATTTATATGGACAAAATATTGATACACCAGGTTTAAAAATTAACGTACAAAAAGCTAGAATTAATGACAGTTGACAGTTTAATTTGACTTACCGAGAGAAACTCCTGCTAGTTATACATGTAACTTTAAATGTATCCTCAATATTCTTTAACGAGAACTCAGCTAAAACGTCACACTGTATTTCACACATATTCACATAATATAATTCAATTCACATTTTTGTATTTTTTACAAAAATATACCTTCGCCAACATTGATGTTTTTATATCAAATGTCAATGTTATTAGAGGTGCGTTCAGATTATTTAGATTAGACTGTTACATTGTCACTTCCGGAATTCGGTTACAAAATTTATTTACTATTCAATAGAACTACAGATATAACGGTCACTATTTAATTGTAAACTGATCTTAGAATATGAAACAAAAGAAAGGAGCTTGAAATCTGTAATTTTTCGTCAGAAATATCTACCTTACTTGACTTTTAATAATTAAATAGGAACAGTTTTATGAGGCGACCTTTGATGACAATAAATTATGAGTTTTATATTTTAATGATGCTTAAAAAGATAATCCTCGGTTAAGCAGCTAATTACATTTTCAGGACTAATTGCTATTTTCATTATTTGATACTAATCTGATCAAATCTGATAGTTGTTAGTTGTTATAAGAATATATAAGAAAAACAAAGCTTAAAGAATCACGCACCTTTCATCCTTTATTCAATATAAAACCACGACATAATAGGGACTAGGGTCTTTAGCAAAAGAAAAGGGAGGTGTGAAGCAAAGCTTAGCACCTCCCTTAAGCAGAAGCTCAATACATTGTTTAAATTTCAGATATATATGAGGCGTTCCCATTGTCTAAATAATTATCTAAAGTTATATTATTAAAGTAACCCTATTTACAACTAACTTTTGATATTTTTATTATCTTATTTTGTTTCTGCTACAGAACAAACCGAGTAAGCCCATCTCTAAACCTGACATTCCTGAAACTTCCTGATCAGATCAGAGTTCTTCCTGATCATAGTTCCTGATACATCACTAGGTGTCAAGGTTAGTAAAAGGGAGGTTGCATGGTAACTCTGACATTGACAGAAAGAAATAGGACGTGTGACGTCACCCAGGTGGTCAATTTTATGAATTGTTTGAAAACAAAATAGGAGAAGTGGTTTAGAGAATATATTTTGTTGTTAAATATCGTTAGTGCTTTAGTTTATGTTAATATCTTGAGATATAATATGTCTATAGATATTATTGAGTGATTTTTAGACTCAACTTAGACCCAAAACTCTTATACAAGTGTTAAGATACATTTAACGTGGTTGTGTCTTACTGGATTTTATTTCTGCTGTATTATATAGTAAAGGTAACATTGGGATTGATGCAGGAAAAACATAACTTAATTCATCTTTTTATTGATTCAGATTCAGATGACCGGTGGAAATATTTGTAGTGTAGCAAATCTGCAAAAATAATTCAAAAAATTCCAAAAAGGATGGAAGGAATTTAATGTTTTTTACATTTCCAAAAAATGTAAAAATTCAAAAGCCATGGATGAGCAAGTATCATAGGAAGGATAAGTGGTCCTATTTTAATAAAAGAGTTTGTAGTATACACTCTCATGGAAGATTATGAGGATGCTTTAAAAGCTAAACTATTAAACATACAACCTAAAAAGCTGAAAAATGATGGTAAGTAGGTATATTCATTTAAATGTTCAGTTAAAATGTGTTAATTCACTGATTTTGATTTTTATAATTTGCTGTTAATTATGTACAACTTAGAAGGTATCTATTTAATGGAATCATGTTTCAATATTTTTTATATTCTCTTATATAATCCAGTAATGTAATCCGATGTTCCTTAAATATATTGAAGTTAAAGGGAAAAACTACTAATTCTGATATATAAATCTTTAGTTGAATCTCTTTTTCAGCATGATTTACTGGTTTGGAGGAATTTATAATAATCTACTACATGCTTTATCCCCAATTCAAATTCAAAATAATTTCAAAAAAGTAAATTGTATTCAACCCAATATTAATATAGTATATTAACATGTTTTAGTCACATGGATACACAAGAAAGAATCTACTTCCAATTTAATATAGTAATGCTATTCTACTACATATGTTTAGCTGCAATAATATTTTATGATTTCTGTAACTCTGCAGGTACTTATCTCCCACATTTTTTAAAGATTGAATGAAATAAATAGTTATTAAAAGTCCAAACGTATTTTTTTCAGTATATATAGATTAATATATTTACAATCATTGCTGCTTTCCGAGTTCATTTCAAGGAGTAAAGAGAATGAATTTGAATTGTAGCATTTGAATAGATTGGTGTAAAGTTACCAGACAACCTTTCTATTTTTAATAACCTTGACTACGAATACTTCCGGCACAAAACTTCCGGTAAATTTTAGAAGCATCTAAAATTTTAACTTCCCCTAAAAATATTTTTGTAATCTGTAAATTAAACATCCGTTAAAATCATAACCTAAACCGTTACAACCACAGAAGGTGATCTGTGGTTACAACTCCATTTCTTAATTTCGTTTGATTATTTTTTAGAAACCACGTTTGAATTTGCCGCCAAATGTTTTAGTTTCGGCCCGTCCGCATTTGGCACTAAAAACTCTCCCAAATTTTTATATGGGATTTACCGGTCCATTCTCTCTCTCATTGAGTTAGTATATACCATCGAGCAATAAGACAAAAGAGGGAATCTAATCCTTATGAAAAGGAGACCAAAAAAGTGGCCTCTGATGGCGGACATATCCGGAAATGCTAATGCGCCAAATTTAAATTTTCCGACACTTATCAACAGTAGCTATATAATATTTTTCAGAATGTGTCTTAGACGAGAAAGTTTTAATTAATTATTAATGATAATAGTCTAAAATGCGACACAATTGTTAAAAAACTTCAATAGAAATAAGATTTTATGTGACATTTGAGACAAACAATAATATAACCCAACTAAATTTGATGTCAAACAAGGAGAGAGACTCTCTTTCCTTGTTTAATGTGGCCTCTAAAGATCGCACTTCCTGTCTAACAATATGTTTGCCCCCACTACCTTTACATTCCCTCTTTTGTCTTTTTGCTCGATGGTATATTACCACGGTTCTTAGACTTACTACGGTTGCCTCTTCCGACTGGGGAGGGGATGCTTGTGTTACGTCACAGGAGTACACAAGAATACAAAACTCATTTATTGGCGATTGAAACTGAATGTAGAGGGCAGGTCGATTGCAGTGTCATGGCCGATATAAATGGTATAAACAAAAACAAACATAACATTCGAATATTTACCATTGCTTTTCCATGTTTAGTTTGGTTTAAGACGAGTTATTTGTATCATTTAATAATGGAAATTAACCTTAATGATATCTTTGAGTATTGTGGTGAAGCAAAGAGTACATTGGTTGAAGGGGAAGCAGTTTTCAAGTGATGAATTCCTAAATTTTAACTTTAACGTTTCGAACTGGCTTGTGTATTGATGATGATGAATCCTATTTTGTGTATACCTGGGAACCCAGAATATAATATTCTGTGTAATGTTTGCCTTAACGTATATATGCATTATTATACCTTATGTTTTTAATATGTTAATTTTTATTTTATACTATTTTTTGACATATGTAAGTACTTTATTGTATATTAACATAAATAAATAACTTTAACTTGGCTTTATTGTAAAATAGTTCATTTGATTACATGAAATCAACCTACTTTATTTATAAAACATGTTTGTTTTGATACATCCATCCAATCACAGGGCTGAATGTTAAGATTCCAATTACGTCACAGGAGTACAATCCGGCTTAATGTTCATTGGTTAGGCGGAAGAGGCAACCGTAGTAAGTCTAGGAACCGTGGTATATTACCAATGACGTATAATATATAGACTCGGTGAACGCTTTAAAAAGTGTCCAAAACATGAATACCTTTGTTATTGTTTATTGTTTTGATACGAAGATGCACGAAGTTCATGATTTCTTACGAAGCATCACGAAGTTGATCTTGTGTTTGAAAACATCATGGACGTATGAAAACATTTTCTCCATTTTGTGTGACAAGCAAATTTTATTTTAAATTGTTGAGAGTTATTTACTTACTATTTTAGTAAAATGCCATACTATTTTATCAAAATAATTATTTCTCTTATAGACGGGAACAAAAAGAAATCATAAATATTTAATTTTAATAAAAAAAATAATTATTGTCATTAACATATAAATGAGCACGCCGCTGTTTTGATAAACATACCTTCAACCTTGAGCCGAGATCTTTCGGACACTCGATTCTATAGCGAGAATAGGGGACTGCGTAGTCTATATATTATACGTCATTGTATATTACCATCGAGCAATAAGACAAAAGAGGGAATCTAATCCTTATGAAAAGGAGACCAAAAAAGTGGCCTCTGATGGCGGACATATCCGGAAATGCGAATGCGCGAAATTTAAATTTTCCGACACTTATCAACAGTAGCTATATAATATTTTTCAAAATGTGTCTTAGACGAGAAAGTTTTAATTAATTATTAATGATAAGAGTTTAAAATGCGACACAATTGTTAAAAAACTTCAATATAAATAAGATTTCATGTGACATTTGGGATAAACAATAACATAACCCAACTAAATTTGATGTCAAACAAGGAGAGAGACTCTCTTTCCTTGTTTAAAGTGGCCTCTAAAGATCGCACTTCCTGTCTAACAATATGTTTGCCCCCACTACCTTTACATTCCCCAATGACGTTATATTATACGTCATTGACATTGCCTCTATTGTCTTTTTGCTCGATGTATATTACTAACTCAATGCTCTCTCCTGTTGCCTAACCTAGATCTAATTTTCGCTCTCAACCAAGCGCTCAACTAAATATTTATTCTCTAACTAAATATTTCGCGCTCAAATTTTCATATTTTTTGCATATCCGGTGTTTTTCCTAAGGACGGCAGTATACACGTTATGTCATGCCACTTGTTTTGAAACCTGACTGTGAGTCGAAGGAAAGAGGGCATAGAATGGACATAACTATTAAGAAGAGTAAGAATAGTAAGGTTATGATACACCTTTTAATATTTTGTTTTCGTTTTGGGGATTAGAAGTAACATTTTAAATATAAGATGAATACAATAAATCAAAAAGAATATCTAAAGAAATATCTCAAAATTGGAGCCAAGACAGGAGAGAAAAAGAAAAAGAAAAAATCAGAGAAAACAACTGGAACAAGGTATGTTTAAACAATTTTATGTATAAATTTGGGCTTCATGCTTTTTTCTTATTTTTACAGAATGAAAATTATAGATGACGATGCAGATACAATATTATCACAAGAAATACAAGATGATATAGATGCTGCCAATGAAGATGCGCCTCAAATAGTAGCAGTCATTGATGAAAGACCTCACTCACTAATTGTTGATGAAAAGACAAAAAGTGGTTTATGGAAGCCAATAGGGCAATCATCAAATAATACTGAATTTCAAAATTTTAAAATAGGTAGTATTAAATTAAACAAAAACAGAGATGATTCCGAGAAAAATAGATTATTAGCGACAAAAAATATATCAAATTTCAAACGAAATGATAATTTACCATCAACATCAATTTACAACAATTTGAAAAAAGATTATTCCCCTCCAAGGAGAGATCAAGATTGTTCACCTCAAAGAAAAAAAGATATAGATCAATCTCCCAAAAGAAGAGAAGACCATTCTAGTAGGAAAGATCAAGATTATTCACCTCCAAGGAAGAGAAAACAATCTCATTCACCTGTACGAAAAAAAGATCAGGATTGTTCTCTACAAAGAAAAGTTAACAAAGATACTGACTATTCTCCACCAAGAAGAGATGATAAAGATTATTCACCTCCAAGGAAAAGAAACAAGTCTCACTCTCCAAGAAGAAAGAATTACCAGGATTGTTCTCCCCGAAGGAAGGATAACAAAGGCCATGAAGAGGATTATTCTCCACCAAGAAGAAACAATAAAGATTATTCACCTCCAAGAAAAAAAATAAAGGATCATTCTTCACCAAGAAAGATTGATAAAGATTATTCACCCGTAAGGAGAGACCAAGATCATTCTCCACTAAGAAAAAAAAATCAAGATTATTCTCCTCAAAGAAAAAGAGACAAAGATCTTTCCCCACTTAGAGCAAGAAAAAAGCAATCTAGGTGGGAGAAAGAACACTCACCCGTATCAAAGGAACTAAATAAACCTGAAACAACCATGAGTGGGAAGAAGTCTGGTCTTCAAAATGCGAAGAGTTTAGTAGATGATATAGTGCGTTTACAAAGAGAAGAAGAAAAGCTGTTTCAAAATATGTCCAGTGAGATATCAGGGGTTAATGCCACTACTGTTGTGCGTAAGAGAAAACAAGAAGAAATAGTGGATCCAGAGAAAGAAGCAAGAGAAAGGGAATTAAAGGAAAAGTATTCTGTTTGGGGTAAAGGCTTAAAGCAAGTTCAGGATGAAAGTGAAAGGTATGCTGAACAACAAAAAGAGATGAACAAGCCTTTAGCTAGATATGCAGATGATGAAGATTTGGAAAGATATTTGAAGGAACAAGAAAGGGAAGGGGATCCTATGTTGGCCTATATAAGAAAAAAGAAGAAAAAAATTGCAGTAGAACATGGAATTCCAGGTAATAATTTTTGTAGTTGTAATTCAAGCAAATATTTTAAACCGTGTATTTATTTTTTTAGAGAAACCTATGTATATGGGAGATTTTATGCCAAATAGATATGGAATTCGTCCTGGGTATAGGTGGGATGGAGTAGACAGATCTAATGGATATGAAAAGAAATGGTTTGAAACACAAAATGCAAAAAAAGCTATGCAAGAAGAAGCTACTAAATGGAGTACAGAAGATATGTAAATATTATTTTTAATAAAATAATTTTTGTTTTATGTATTCATTATTTTTTACTCTCTATGTAAAGTAATAGTGAAGTGAATTGTTGATAATGGTTCTTAAAAGGATATAGCTTCAATATATTGTGGTACACATATGACATTGAGTGCACATCTGACATCATTTGAGGTATTTGAATTTGTCACTATTGTCTCAATAAATACTTAGAATTTTTTACTAGCTCTTATAATATCTTCGTAAATAAAATTTTATAGTTAATTTAAAAAAAAACCCTGGAATAACATTATTTAAAAAAAAATCACTGAAAGGGGGCTATGAGTTGCAATTGTGACATCAACATGAGGGACGACCTATAAACAATGCTTTAAGACGAAGGGGAGGTAGGTATTAAAAACTTTCACTTTCAATCTTCTCTCATTTTGTTCTTCTGATTTGATTTATGTTACTATGCTTTTAATCTATTTTTATTTATGTTTTGTGTATTTTGGATTATCACACTTAAAGCTTTATGCCTTGATCCCAATACCAGAAGTGATATAAAGCAATAAGCAGATGTAGTGATGCTTTAATTGAAATTTCAAATGTACATTATTTTATGTGTAATCTTGGGTGACTTTGGTTCTGTAAAAAAGTTATTTCTATAAAGCTTTGCTAGAATAAGGTCATATTACAATAAATAACAGACATGCAGTATATAAGAGCAATTTGGAGTTTATTACTTGTATTTCAAAAGCTCACCCTTGCATCCCCTTTGCTATTTGTATTAGTTATCAATGATGTTTTACTATATTTTGGGCACTGCTGCTCTGAAAATATTTGTGGTTGTTGTGTTGAACCACTTACATATATTTTTCAGCAAGGAAATTCTTCGCCTTCTTGTTCCTTGTTTTCCTTCTATTTTTCCTGGTATAATTAATTGTAGCAACCCATATCATATGACAATAAATATCAGACATGCAGTATATGAGAGCAATTTAGAGTTTATTATTTGTATTCCAAAAGCTCCCCCTTGCGTCCCATTTGCTATTTGTACTAGTTATCAATGATGTTTTGCTATATTTTGGACACTGCTGCTCTGAAAATATTTGTGGTTGTTGTGGTGAACCACTTACATATATTTTTCAGCCAGGAAATTCTTCGCCTTCTTGTTCCTCATTTTCTTTATATTTTTCCTGGTATAATTAATTTTAGCAACCCATATCTTTTGCTGTTCCTCATGATGTGACCAAGGCATTCGATTTTGGCTGTTTTTATTGTGATTAACAGCTCTTCCTTTTTTGCATTCTTAATTAAATGTCCTGGTTAGTGACATGGTCGTTATAGGATATCTTCAGGATTTGATGATAAGGCCACATTTCAAAATCCTCAATTTTCTTGCGGGTAGCGTCTGTGAGAGTTGATGACTCAACTCTGTACAACAGTATAGGAGGTAATGGATTTTGACAAGAGCTAGGAGTCATGCCGATGCAGTACACAAGTTTACCTGTTATTTACAACGTCATAGCTCTTGTCAATATTCATTACCTATAGTAACTTGACTTTTATGAGTACTGATAAATCATGGCATTTAAATAGATTAGCCATTTTTTGAAATACAGATCTTGCTTTCTCTGTTATACATTTTATTTAGGTTCGTACCAAGGTACAAGGGTATGTTTTTACTCTTTCTATTGGTTGAGCATTTACACTGATAGAGAGCTTCAGACTGAAGTTTGCTAATTTTTTATGTTTTACAAATGATCCAAAGTGTAACCGCTCAATATCATCCCTGAGGACTGTCTTAAATTTCAGGCAGATCTGATCTGGGCAGACTGGATAAATGGTGTAAGGTCAATTATATGGATCTTATTATTTCTAAGTGTCACTCCATAGTATTTACAAAGAAACCAAACAAAATTTATTTTAAATACAGAATAAAGGGTCCAAAGTTGTCCCAAGTCACATCTATGGGAGATTTTGGTGTTATTATGGACTCCACACTCTCATTTGTCAATCATATTGACATGATAGTTTCTAGAGCTTTAGGTATGCTTGGATTTATTAAGAGAAATACATCAGACTTTATTCGATTTTGTTAGACCCTTATTAAAATATTGTTCTTTAGTCTGGAGCACCTATTATACCTTGTCATATCCACAAAAATGAGCAGGTTTCTGCGGTACTTAGAATATAAAGCAAATATTCTAAAAATTAATGATTATTCTTATAATTTTGCATCATTATAAGAGACATTATCATTACCAAAATTAACAGTGAAAAGAGACCTACAATTATTTTTTACAATATTTAATTGTATGATTGACTGCCCTTCATTGATTTCTAAAATGTTACTGGAAGTTCCAGTTGCGGACCAATCTTGATTTTAATTCATAGATGTCTAGAGTACCACATATTGCAAATCTATATGCAGATAATCTTGAATTTTTTAAAATAACTTTCAGCATGTTTATAAGTGTAACTACATATGTAGCTACACTTATAAACTACATGTTGAAACTTATACCTACATGTTATAAGCTACATGTTGAAACTACATGTAGCCTGAGTTCTTTATAATTGTAAGTTGTTTTAAGATACATTTTAGATTTTATTTTGTATCTATGAAATTTGCTTAGGTTTTGAACTATTTGTAACCAGAGGCAGCGTATTTGTGCTTCAGCGACTTCTCATTGGTCATTTAGGTCTCTCTCTCTCTCTCTCTCTCTCTCTCTCTCTCTCTCTCTCTCTCTCTCTCTCTCTCTCTCTCTCTCTCTCTTCAATCCTGACCCCCCAGGGGGAGTGTAGTGGTCGACGTGATGTCGTGTATTGTCCGTCTCCAGAGATCTCTGTCTCTGGTCATTTCTTTTAATTCATGCATAGGTCTTTGGCATATTCCTGTAATTTGATCTATCCATCTTGTTGGGGATCTTCCTCGTGATCTTCGGCCTTCTACCTTTCCTTGTATTATGAGTCTTTCCATGTTTTCTGTGTTTGCTCTCATAACATGCCCAAAATATTTTAATTGTTGGAGATGGACTTTACTAGAGAGTCGTTGGCTAACTTTTAGCTCTCTTAAAATTGAATTATTTGTTCTGCGGTCGGTCCAAGGAATTCATAACATTCGTCTCCAACAGAACATTTCAGTGGCGTCTATCTTTCTTCTCTCCGATTGTCTCAGAGTCCAAGATTCACATCCGTAGGTCAGTATTGGGAATATTAAGCAGTTGATCAACCTCATCTTTATCGCTCTTGAAATTTGACAGTCCTTCCATATTTTGGTCATTTTTGTTGTGGCAACTTTTTCAAGATCACATCTACGTTTAATCTCTTCTTGTAATGACCCTGTGTTTGTGATTAATGATCCCAGATGAGCTCACAACCTCGAACCGGTCTATCCACTATCATGATCTTTGTCTTTGATATGTTTAATTGCAGACCAAATATTTGACTTTCGTTTTCGATCAGTCGTAAAGTTCTATCAGCTCTGCTTGACTATTTGCAAGAAGTGCTGTGTCATCTGCGAAACGTAGGTTGTTTAGTTTATGACCATTTATTGAGATGCCCTTTTCCCATCCTTCAAGTGCTCTTTGCATAATATACTCCCCATATATGTTGAATAATTGTGGAGATAGTATACATCCTTGTCTGACACCCCGTTTTGGATGAAATTCGTTCGAAAGTGTGTCAAGTACTTTAACTGATCCAGTAGTGTGTTCATATAGTTCGGTTATAAGCGTAATTAGATGTTGACTCTCATTGATTATATGTAGCATTATCTTACTGGCATGGAATATAAGAGAGATAGTTTTATAATTGTCGCATTTATGGAAGCTGCCGTTTTTATGTATGGTCGTTATTGTAGATTTTGTCCAGTCTTCAGACCATTGTTTGGAATGCCATATTTGGTTACAGAGTAGATGAAGTAACTTTACGCCGGTTTCTTCTGTGGCTTTAAGCATTTCTGCTATTATCATATCTGGACCTGGTGCTTTGTTATATTTGAGCTTGTTGATAGCCTGTCTTACTTCATTTTCGAGTATATCAAGTTCTTCTTCTACCTCTTCAGAGATTTGGCTAACAAGCTCTTGGCGTTGATCATCTTTATATAGGTCCCTGCAATACGATCTCCATGTCTCTGCTATGTCTTCTCTGTTTGTTCTCAGGGTTCCAGTGTTATCTTCCAGTGTTATCTTCAATGTGGTCATTTAGGTCACGTGGTTGATAAACCCGGTCCATTAGAAAGAGATGCAGGAACTGCTTTGCGTCAGCTTGCGTATTGGGAGAACAGGCTGTATTGCAGCGTTCACTCTATTTGTATTTATGTTATGCAGGGTAAAATAGAGACCAAGAGATCGAGAAGATGAAGAATCTCATGGTTAGGAAATATCCGTGAATGGTTTGGCTACGCGTAAGTTGTTCAGGGCGACAGAATCAAAGATAAGACTAGCTGTAACGATTGCTAACCGCCGCCGGTATGTATACTGCTAAGGATAATAGTTTATACCCAAACGTAGTGTTTAAAGTAACCACAACTAATTGTTGTGGTAACAATTTTTTTTGAAAGTTGGTAAAAGTAATCTTTATTTAGATGTAGTATAGTATTCTTAACTTCTTCTTCTGAGTAGACTATGAGTAGAAGTCTAGTCTCATTAGTATTTCTCCATATTTATCTTAATTTCGGGGCTATTCAGATATTTATAATTTTAACAACAGTTTAAGGTACGAATTCGTCAGGTCTATTGGTCTGTATTGGTTTTTTGTTATCGTGACAAATTAAAAACTTTAAAATAATCAATATTTTCTACGAATGAAACAAAAATGGAGGCGAAAAGAGCCCAAGGTAGTAAAACGCAGGGCTTAAGACCAAAAGGAAGGCAACGGAAATGGTGGGATGATGACGTGGTCGCGGACGCGTAAAATTTGCTAGACGTGAGAACTTGGAAAAGAGCGGTGACCAGTAATGTTATAGTAGAGGGTAAGCTATAGTAGAGGGAGAGGGAACAAAAACAATGTTTATAAAAATGAAAGTTGTATTTATATCTTTTATGTACAGTGTTTAAAGATTAGTAAGAAATAAACGGTTTTTGTCCATATGTTGAAAATATTTCATTCCAAAATCTGTACATATTCTCCATTGGATTTCTCCTCACTTCCATCCAAGATCCAATGGCTAAATACTGGAAATTATTAGGTTTCACACTGGGCCATGTTATGTTTTGTAATATATTTATTTTTTCAGGCGTTGGATCACTAAAAATCAAAAGAAATATTTGTGCACTTGAAAAATATATAATATATTTTTATCTATTTACAGACGAGTCAAGCAACCTCATAACCTCTAACTTTTCGAATATGATAGATTCTTCTAATATATAACTAGGCGAATAAAATAGTGTCTTTTCCGACTTTGGTGTCTTCAGACCCATCTGAATGGTATACATCCTAGTATCCAGTTCACGATGGAGGTGGAAACTAATTCATCCCTACCATTTCTCGACGTTACCATAAAGAAAAACCAATCCCAAGATTTTCATCACTCTGTTTATCGAAAACCCACCCATACCAATCGTTACTTGCCAACTTTCATCATCCACCTTCACAAATTAATTCAGTCATTAATACCCTGGTCTCCAGATCAATACGCCTTTGCGATGATGCAAGTAGACCCGCTGAGCTTTCTAGTTTAAAACAAGCCCTTATCCAAAACGGTTACCGCGAAAATCACATCAATAACAGCATCCATCAATCTCCCCCTCAATTTCAACCCAAAGACTTATCATACGAAAGCTTTTTTCCTTACATCAAAGGTGTCATTAACAAAATCGACAAAATTTTTAAACGATGAGGAATAAAGACAATATTTACCCTCCAACAAACCTTGCATCTCTTGTCCGACCAATCAGACAACATTCCAAATGAGCAACACGGAGTTTATGAAATTCCTTGTGCAGACTGCCCCCGATCCTATATAGGCCAAACAAATCGTAGAATCCAAAATAGGATTTCTGAACATTCCATTTCTGTTTGCAATTCCGATTCAATTTCAGCTCTAGGTCAACACCATCTTATACAGGTTACAAAATTGATTTTGAAAACTACAGAACCATAGGTGACCATAGTACTCATCCGCTTTTATAAACCAAGAAAGAAATTAAAAAAAGGTCAAATTGTCTCAATATAATAGTTGACGGCATACGGTTACCTTCGACATGGAGACCTCTCATAAAGACAATATCGTCCGCTCCACTCGCCAATCGAAATTCTACTGTCAGAAATTAAACAGCCACCCAAACAGTAGCAGTAATGCATTGGTTAGTGATCAGTGTAGTAGTGTCTGGGGGTTTGGAGACTGAGACCTCGTAAGCCCCGAAGAAGACATCAAAGAGGATGTCGAAAGTTTGGCGCAATTATAATTGACGCGGTTCAACCCGGAAGACTGGTGAGTTAAATATTAATTGTTGTAATAGTATTAATCTTAGCTCTAGGTTCAAATATACCTACATATATACATACTATATTTATACTTACAGATATTTGGCAAAATTGGTAAACAAAGTTGTCATTCTTTTTTGAACTATTTGATCGGTTATAGGATATTTTGTAATATCGGTGGTATTTAGACTTGTGTAGCTATGGCACAAAAGATAACTTATTTCCTCTGTGTGTCTGACGTCGTCGGAAAATCCAATAGCTACAAAATAGTGTTTTTTTTTATAATCAGATGATTCTGTTTTGGAAGAACAAAAAATGGTTATTTTATCAGTGAACAATGATCATGTTAATGAACATGTTTTTTGACTACACATAGCGGTTTTTTTTTAATAAAAATTATATCCCCAGAAAATATATCTATTTAATTGTACCAATTTTAAAATTTTAATTGTTATAAACATAGCAGCTGTAAGGTTACTCCAGGCATTGCCCTTCATAACTCTGTGCTGGTTTCAAAAAATTCACTAATTAATGCTCCAAATAATTAATTTTTGTCTCCTCAGGTTGGACCACCTGTTAACTGTTAACCGTGTGTGAGTTCTTTGCATTTCTGAAAAATACAAGCAAATTATGCAATAAACGTTTTAAGACGCTGGATAAGATGGTCGAAGCATACAAAAATATCATTTCTGAGATATCTACTTCGGATTAACATAAATGCTTCGACGATTTTTTTGTCGAAATACAAAAGTGTAGATATTATTGTTCTGAAAGGCAAATACTTTGAAAAACAATAAAGCTGATTTTTCGCAAAAATATATTTTATTATATGCAAATTAAATGAGGAAAAAAAGTTACAAATAATAAAGATGTAGCTGAAGTAAAAGATTATACTATTAGCTTACTTGGTGTATCTGCAAATTTTCCTAAAGGTCCATGGTACTCAAACTCGTAAACGTAGACGTCATGCCATCTTGATTCCAATTCAGCAGCCTTGAGAATTGATCTAGCGAAACTCTGATCACTTTGGTACTAAAACAGAGCGAATTGATAATAATTTACTATTCATCGTAGCATCAGAAGTAGTATAAAAACTCAAGAAATCGAAATGTCCAAAGGAAGAACTATTTCTAGATGACTTGTCTATATTTTTCTATATCCATTGTGAACTCGTATTGTTTCAGTTACTTTAGGAATAGTTACTGACCGTATTTATAGAGAATGTGTCTTATACAGGCGAGCTAAAAATTCTTAGCATTTTTTATAGTTAGATGTGATTTTATAGTCCATAATATTTTGTATTCAAAACTAGGTAGTAAAGTAGATAAATGCAAATTTTACCAGTACCCTTCAATTTGAAGTTCCATTCTAAAAGTCGGACCTCGAGAAGTTCTCCCCATCCCTTTAACGTGGCGGTATTTTACGAGTACAATATCTTTAACAGGTTATAACTTTTTACAGCCGCTCTGTATATTCCATCCTTAAATTGGATAATGAAATCTAGATCTTCACTTATAATCTGTTCAATTTTCAGCTCTTAATGTTAATACACAATGGAAATATGATCTTAACAAAAAAATGCCATCTTTGTTCCTATTGGTCATAGAAGGTTCTTTTTTTTAAGATTGTGTTTTTTCACCATCTTTTCAGTAAGCCTACTTAGAAGCGCGCTTCATTTTTATATGCTAAATGAAAATGGAGACACAGTCAGACGCAACAGAGTAGATTTAAGAGAATCATTAAATGTGTTCAAAGCAGCTTCTGGACATGATAATATACAATGTAGTCTGTTCAATCCTGATTCAAGTGACCCGCCCCAGTGTGAAGTGAATATCTTGCCCACTGAGCAAAGAGAGTCCTGTAGAAACCAAAGAGATAGTGTTCATGGATTGCCTCTTGTGGAGCCAGTCTATGAACCATCACTTAAAACTACTAGGTCGGGTCGCTCTGTAAAACCCCCTGAACGCTTAGATCTATAAGAGGGAGGATGTAATATATGTGGTGCCATTGTTAGGCAAGCAACATGACAGGAGCCTCATGGTGACATCACCTGTCATGTTAGGGCAGTCAACATGGAGGTGTCAGATAAAGTATCACAATAAACGGCCTGGAATAAAACATATTTATTCATCCTTATACCCTGGCAGGTTTACCAGGATATTACAGAATTTTTACTAATTTAGACATATATGTTACATATATGACACTTCGTAGTGTCATGTCAGACTGTACCTATATGTTCTACCAAAGAATATAGACGCTTAAGCGTCTATATTCTTTGGTTCTACGATCATAGACATATATGACATCTTTGCTGGGGGACCATAGGTTAGGTTTCACAGTTTAATAAACGTGGTCACAAGTTAATCCTGTATTTTAATTTAATATAAAGCCAACTTGAAACAATATATGCTTACCTTAATGAATTGTCTTTGGTTTACACTGAAATTGAAGTAAGGAGAATAAAAATCTTTTATCTTTTGAGCAATGACAGCTTTATCAGAGTCCTTAGCATTTAGTTTATTGGGGACCAGTAGTTCCAGATCGTCTTCAAAGACAGCAATAGTTTGACCTAAATTACTGAAATCTAAAATATAGGTATTATTAGATAAGAAATAGAATAGCTAGTAACACAATACAGAAAAAAATGTATTTTGACCTACGTTTTCACTATTTAAAAGATTGTTAAAGCAAAAGATTCGATACAAAGTGATATGTAGTCGTGTAGGGAAGAGTCAGTTAATGGTACGCGTCGGGTAATTGTGCGCATCAATTTTTAATCTCCTATTTAAAAAAATGGCTAAAAATATATTGTCGCGCCATCTATTAGCAACTGCCAGATCTATCTCACACAAACGAACGTCGGGAAATATATTTCCGGTTGGCAATTATTGTTTACATGTTTTCGCGTAGTATTTTATTGTTTGTGTATCTAAGAAAGCAGAACGATTTGTTTTCCTGATAGAAATATAGTTTAAACAGTACATATACACGTTATTTATTTACAATTTTAGACACTGGTATATCTAGTTAGTTTTGCCCAATTAATTTTTGTTTTTATTCAATTTTGTGTTATATGGTGAAGTGGAATGTCGTCTAACGGTGCGCATTGCGTACCATTAGCCGACAAGCTTATATAAAGGCATTTTGTTACGTTTTGTGACTGCCATAAATACTGTCAATAAAATTGAATACCTGCAGATTTTTCAATCAAGCTATTCTTATTAACATTCTGCAATAAAATAAGTCTAAACGTTGATATAAAATGTTTTATTTAGAAAAGCCAGTATTGTCCAGATGCCAAAATAGTAACGAAAAACGACAAAGGCGCACTGGAAAGCTGAAACTATAAGCACGGCTCTAGACGTCGTAAAAAATGATGATAGAAAATGCGAAGCTAAAAGAAGGTTCAATATTCCAGAATCTTCTATTCGAAAATGTAAGAAATGTGTTGATGATGGGCGTGAGATCGTAAATTCTCGTAATGGGAAGCGTTGCATCTTTTCCGTCAATCAAGAAAAACAATTAATAGGGCATCTTTTAAAGATGACGAAATTATTTCATGGTTTTACTAGAAACAGCTTGTATCGAAACTTGTATCCTCATTTGCGAATGCTAGCAACATTACACATAATTTTAATGCTAATTTTTAATGCAGACACAAATGGGAGGAAAAGACTATTCTAAATTAGAATATATTCAAAGGCTTTCTAAAAAGACATCCCGAAATTTCTCTAAGAAAGCCTGAACCCACCAGCATAAGATAAAACAAGATCTAGGCTTTTAATAAAGAGCAAGTTACCATTTTTTTAAATAATTTGCAACAGTTATACACGAAGAGCAGAATGTGTCAAACAGTAAGCGGGAAAATATCCCGTGGAAGAAGGAAGACAGGTACAATTATTTGGTGCTTCAACGCATCTGATACCTGGTGCATTTCACCAATATTTATCTTTCCAAGGATTAGAATGACACACGTATTATCAAAAAATTGTCCATCCAAATCTATTTATTCTTGTTATAAAAGCGGCTGGAGTAACGAAGATATTTTTTATGAATGGCTTCAGCAATTCAGCATTTCAGAAAAATACCGTAAAACCGTCAAAAGATGACCCAATCATTTTGATTTTGGTTAACCACCCTAGTCACATTTCTCTTCCTATATTTAATTACTGTAGATCCCATGGGATTTCTCTTTTAACAATATCTCCTTACTCTTCACACAAACTCGAACCATTGGATATAACTTTTTTTGGTCCTCTCAAATTAGCATTCAACAAGTATCGTGACTATCACTTATTGACAGCAGAGATGATAACTAAATATGATTTAGCCCAGACATTTAATAAAGCATGCGTGCATACTACTACAATGTACAAAGTACAATCAGGCTTTCAGGTAGCTGGCATCTGGCTTGTCCAAAAAGATAAATTTACTGATGATGATAAATTCACAAAAAATGATGATTGGTTTGGAAAATGTAAGTCCGTTTAAAAAACCACCCCAAACAAAAAGACTTGCCGGAAAACACAAAAATCTCATATATTAACAGAAATGCCTAACAGAGAAAAAGCATCAAACTGGACAAAGGAGCAAAGAGGAAACCACGACAAACAAAGGTACAACAAAGAAGGTTTTTGAAGACAGCAGCTCCGAAGAAGTTTCAGAAAGTAAACGATGAGTGCAATGATGTTGAGTTGGACGATCTCGTGTTAGATGAAACTGCGCACCAATAGCCGACTCTCCCCTAATAGTACAATTTATAGATCTCAAATATACCATAGTTGTAAAAGTTACAAATATAGTAGTTAGTTAGACTTTATTTAAAATGAATATTTCATACAAATCAAATTGAATTATGTACTAACATAATGAACTTCAATTAAGTTCGGATATGGTAAAACTGATGTGAATCATGTGAACTGTAATTTTTTTTATGGGTCAGCTACTCTGAGTTTAAGAGAGATTATCTTGTATTAGTTCATATCATTTAAATAAAAGAAAATACACTACTTTTTAGGATTATAGACAGCGGACTGAATTGTTTTCCTTCCTGATGGTTTGTCATGGACTACGACAACTATTATCAAAGACGATGTGGCTTTAACTGTGGCTGTAGAAATGTAATTCAGGAAGCTGACCCTGCGTAGGGATACATGCAAAGGGACTTATGATTGAACTTGTCCAGATTATTCAAAATTAATCTGTCGTATCTAGAACTTGTCTAGATTTATCTAGATTTCGGTAAATTTATGTAGATGTCTGTAGATTTTTTTAGATATATTGTATCTCTTAAATTAGTGTTCATTCATCTAGATTTCTATAAATGATATATATTTTTCTAGATGTTTCTAAATTCTTTGTGGTTTTTCTAGAATTTTTTCTTTCCAAACGCGAATTTGTTGACTAGTTTCTTAACTGTCTTAACGGATAAAAACTGTTGATTATTGTACTTTGGTATATTTTAATTTCAAAATTTATTGTATGGATATACTTTCAAACACTTTTCTACTCTTAGATAATTTTTGCTAATGATATATAGCTATGATAATAAACGGAATACTTTACCTGCTGGTAACATCTCCTCAGAATTCACACCAATAAGCAATTTGACGTCATTAATATCGCCATCTTTTAACATTTCATACATTGGTTTTTTTATGAATGCACCTTCATGTTCGTGCTCTATCACAGGTCCCCAGTACACTCCTTTGAGTATTTGAATATCCGATGGTTTTTCCTGAAAGTGTGATATATAAAAAAATATTTTAATTTAACGAATAACCGATCATTACATTACCACAAAACTTTCTCCACTAGAAAAACAAAGATCTGAACTCAGAGAAACAGCATCAAAATCAGAATTTCAATATCATTGGACAGGCAGGCTTTGTTTTACGCTTTGAACAGCTATATGGATCATCATCATAATCAATAAGCCCTGATTTGTCCATTGTTGAACAAAGGTCTCCTCTAGATCATTTCATCTATTTCTGTTCTGCACCTCTGCTATCCTATTGATAAAAATTCTTTTGGAGTAGGGTAGACTGGGTACGGTTGTAAGAATTTTCCTTGAATGATTCACAGTACAGCTCTTGAAGCTGTAAGCAACGATCTAAAAGAGTTTGGAAGGAATGTCATTTAAATAAGTGTGTGCGATTATTATCCAGTTGTTACAACCGTACTCTGTTACAACCGTGTCCTTAGGAGTCTTCCAAATCTAAGTACTAACCGCACCCGACACTGCTTGACTTCGGTGTTCTGACGAGAATCGGTATATTCAGTGTGGTATGGCTGTTGCCTAGGGGCCTTCCCCGGTTTGGCTTGATTGCCTTTGGTCTCCACTCAAGCAATTTTTTGTCCACCTGTCTTTCATTCTTGCAACATCAATATGGATAGTTTGCTCTAAATCAGGCATATAACTTTAAGACTCTGACAAAATGCAATGACAATATTTTCGGTTTGATGCTATATGAGAGTATATGGAATTTGTCGATTAACTGCCAAGATGAGAACTTCTTTTATTTACATTACAACTATATATTATACTACATTAACTAAACAAAAGATGTTTCGGCAAAATCGAACTGCTATTTGTAGGAAACTCTTAACAATTTCTTAGATGTCGTACTCACCATTAGATGTATTTGATGAGCTGCTCTGTCGATGTCATATGCTGGTAGTTTTCGTAAATATTCATATATTTCAGAAGAAGTCGCATTGTACGTTGCAAAGGCAGGATTAAGTATAGAGGCTAAGAGGTACGAAAGTTCCGTTTGATTTTTTTGATTCGCCCAAACACTTAAAGCAGAAGCGCTCTCACATATTGCAGCTCTAAATAAACCTAAAATGTTGTTAAAAAACTATTGAACAATAATCTAATAAAGATCATCTAGTTGAATTATTATGTTATTAAATAGATAAGTTATTTTTGTTTTGTTTTATACTTGACTGTATTGTTTATACTTAGACATATTTTAAACTTTGACTTTTCCGCCTATTTTTTTCTCAATAATTCTTAGCTATGTGTGTATGTTCTAGCGTCATCCACTTAAATTACAATCATATTTATTGTTATTTGACGATTGACCTTTCTTCTGTAATTAGAGTTACTGAATTGTCTGCTATTGCTCTCTAAGCAGGCCCGGATGCTCCCACTCTCTAAGGGTCTCCAAAACGGGATCATAAGATATATTCCTGATAACATACTGAGCATGCGCAGTATATGTGTGTTCATATTTATTTATTGGGCATGGTCAGGTGAGTTGCGCATCAGTTCTTGGGGACATGCGCAGACATCTTAGGTATATCATCGTATTAGAAGTCATTTTTTTAACTTCTATCTTCATGTTATAATACATGTTATAGGAATATTAGAAGAATATTAATATATAAAAATAATTAAAAATAAATTAACGTATATTAAATTGTGACTGGAAGAAAAAATGTATATGGAAGAATCCTAATTAACGAACTTACCTTTGGATAATGGACTCAGGACATGATAATGTACGGAAGCTGCTCCAGCGCTTTGTCCAAAGATAGTGACTTTAGTCGGATCTCCTCCAAAATATTGAATATATTTATTAACAAATTGTAAAGCTAGCACTTGGTCTTTTAAACCCATATTTCCAGGGACTATATCATCTCCGGTTGAAAAGAATCCTAAAAATATATTTTTTAAGAACCAAAAATTATTGCCATAGTTTGTAGGTAGTTATTAACAGAATTGAAATAGTAAAGTGGGAGAAAGGTGGACAAAATTGTGTTCTTAAGGTTTAAATTGGGATTTCAAACAAATCTGCAACTTTCAAGGTCTTGAAATAAGGCAAATATCATCGTTATAGTACTAACTATTTATTAATATAACGTGAAAGTTAAAAAAAGTGAAAGTTTTTCTTATTGTCTGAAAAAAAAAACAGAATATAATATAAATTACCCCATTATGCCAGCCGTACAGGGTAAAATGAGGTGCGAAATTGAAACTAAGAAAAGCCTATTGAGAAAATTCGTATACAAGTACCGCTTAAGCTGCACATGAATTGTGAGCCCATTTATAGCAACTGGAACAGTTTATCCATCCCTCTGTGGAACTTAAATAAAAATATCCGCAGTACAATCAGTCACTATCTTCGCCTTCTGAATCTGACTCTACTTTTTTAGTTTTTTTTTTAATTTCGATTGTTTACTCGTCTGTGATTTGGTTTGATCATCGGCTATCTTCCTTTTTGCTGATTTCGCCTCCATAACCTGCGTTTTTTTCTGTGCCAATTCCAGCTCCGTTTTGTAAGGCGAAGACATTAAGGCGGTTTTATCAATTTTTTTTTTGATATGCGTGTCTGGGATCTGGGATTCTTGATTTACTTTAGGCATTGCTACGATAGTGGAAAACATAGAATTTCTTCGACATTTTTCCCTCGCATAATTAATTACGTCTAGATTTTTGTATGTGATCAATGACAATCTAGCAGAAGCAGAATCTGTGAGTGATTTGAAGCTGTAGAATACTCGACAAAACTTCTTAAACTATGAAAAATACAATGTCTTATCTATCCACCCTTTTTCATTAAGCTCGACCATCCACCAGGCACGAGGTCATCTCAAAAACCCATCAGTTTCAAATCATTAACACAATAATTTAATGACTAAAAGGATAAGAGAATTATTTTTGATGAGATATGATATACAGTGTGTCCCAAATTTTTTTATAAAAATGAAGAAAAAGTTTATCTTACATTATAAACAAAACTATTCTTGATAAATTGATAAAAATCTCAGCATAAAAGGATAAAACAAAAATAATGATTTGATTAAAATATATTATTTACCAAACAATAAATAATTATGATGTCATTAAAATATGATACTTTAATTTTGAAAGATCCTACTTGGAAAACTTCACTGTTTCATTGTTTCACGGGTAACTGTTTAAAGTAAAATAAAAATATAAATAAGGCAATAATTATATGATTCTTACTATCATTTTAATATTTAAAATTTTTTTTTTTTAATAGAACAGTAACACATTAAAAGACACACAGACAAAGCAACTGAACACAAACAACTGATACTAAATATGTCGTATAACAACAAGTACGAATTTGATGGTAATACAATCTAAGGCTAAGACATTAGCAATTATTTCTCAACTTTGACAATTAATGACCCATCTGCATAATTTCCTTTGAAACTCCATGATATAATATTAAATAACACTAATTTAGGTATATCTATTTTTTTTATCACAATTATTTCCTTCCCTTTACAGTTTTTAATTGAAACAGAGTTCTGAAAAGAACTTTTGCATAAAATAAGTAAAACTAAAATAATTTAAACGGAATGCACAAATACAAAACGTAAAATCACAACAAAATGAAATTTAAATAACGAGAGTTAAAGAAACAAATCAGTAGTGTACAAATATCCAGCACCTCACTACATAATAACGTTTACCGCAAGAATGGCTTTGCTGCAGCCCCACTTTTAAATTTGTTTCTGCGCCATGACTTTTTAATTTTACGAGATACCTTGTAATAAATAATGCTTCACTTATCGTATCGTATGGTACATTTATTGAAAACACTACTGTACACTCTTACAATGTTACTTATCTTAAATGTAATAGTACTTAGTTGACGTTGTGACAATAGTGATACATTAACTTGCCATTTTGACGTTAAATTAGTTCTGATCTCAGATAATGATTGTTGTCGCTTTTAATAGCCGGCCTTGCCTGTATCAGCACTTTACTTATTAGTGTGTCAAGTTTGTTCCTGACCTACACCAAGCATATGTCGTGATTGGCAATAGTGCTGATTTACAAATTCTAATTAGAGTATATTATTTATGAATGTCCTCGATTCAAATTACTAAACATATTTTATATAAACAAAATGCGAAACTATGTTACACAAGTATGAATTATAATATTTATTATATATGAATATATATAAATTATAATATTTTAGGAATAATACTACAACCTCTTTGACTAGTAAATGTATTTCTAATAACTGTTATTTTAAAATCTGTTTGTATTTATATCTAATTTTGGGATTAACTAAGTAGTATATCCAAAAAAGACAAACAAACATAACATTTTCTGAATTTTTTACATTTGTTATTGAGTGTATTTAAAAATAAGATCTGATGGTAAACAGAGATGCATAGAAATTAAGACATAAAGACCAAGACCTAAGACCTAAATTAAAAAGAAAATAAATATAAATTTTAGTTTAATTTCATATAAAGTTGATTTATAAAGTTACCAAACTGGCTTAATTATTTCTACTTACCGAAGGGTCCTATTCTGTAATTGAATGTAACTACAACTACTTCATAATCCAATAGATAATCAGGACCGTAATTTACTTCTATTGAAGCTCCTTCGATAAAACCGCCTCCATAAATGAACACCATTACTGGAAGACTTGCGTTTAACTTGGGATCCTAAAAATATAAATAAAATGTATAATACAGAAATTGCAAAAAAATTAGTCAGTTAAATTTTATTTCCTAGCTCATCTATATTTAACGACATGGTTTTGCCTACTGAATAAATAATTTTCTTTGATTCTTGGTCAAATTTATCCTTAAATAACTGAATCATTGGGTCTTGAAGCGGATAAAATACAACAAAGAGTTGCACTCTTTTTTATCGTTGACTGTAAATGCATTTTCAGGATTATTATCCAATCTTGTACAAACTGTATATTTTCTTGGATTAGGAATGTCAATTTTAAGCTTATCACAAGTATCTCTTACTTTGGAATAATTATTATCAAACATAGGTGGTTCGATCCTTGATTCTTCCAAAGTTTGAGACTTCTATACTTTCACAAATATCTTTGCCTGGTGATTAAAGCAATTTGCTAACTTTGAAACCCATTTATTTTTTGACAACCAAATATTTTTTAGTGTATTTTAAGATATTTTGTATTTAAATCATTGAATTTATTTAGGAAGTTAAAAAATATTAAGATTAATGTTTTATTCTTTTTTCCTTGCCAGTGATTTTATCCTGTTAAATATTAAAGATACCCGTTGTGTCGTAGTTTAAGTTGTAATATAACATTTCGTGGAAATCTTTCTATTAAAGTGCCATAAGAAGTGTTTTAAAAAAGTTTTTTAAATGTTGTAATAATTTTTGAGTTTACTTTTTTTAGATCTGCAGATTAAGCATATAATGGCTAGTAAACATGTGTTGAAGATATCCAGTATTACTGAATTTTTCAGTACTAGCAATAAAACTACTATTAACTACATATTTAAACTAGGAGAAAACGAAAATATTTAGTCTTTTAGGTCATAAAATCACTAGCACTTAAAAAAGATTAAAACTTCGTAATTAAATTTGATGATTTATTGATTAATTTTGAAATACCCTCGATAAAAACAACAACAAAATACCTTGAAATATAGGAAAATATAATTAAAATTTTAAACAAACCATAACATAATAAATATGAACATTCATAGTAAATATTTTAATACTTTGATATTCTTACCTCACAAATTCACGAACAACAAATAATACCAATCGCACACAATGAATGTTAATAACCAAAAGTCCTTATTTATTCTTCAGACAATTAAAAAAAAACCCAATATTTCCAACTTTTTATGGAACAAATAAACGCAAATTAAACATTTTTGTGTTCTAAATAATTTTAAACTATATTTAAAATTCTAACTAATAGGCAGCAAGAAAAAAAAGATTCAGTTTGGGTTTTTAATTTTGGTATAATGTATACTTGTAATTCAATATAACATAATTGTATTGAAAAACTTACTTGTGGAGAAAATATGTTGACAAACAAACAATCTTCATCACCCGAAACATCTGCGTATGTAATCTGCCTACAGTAGCTACCTTCTGTGGTGGCATCGAGTACACCGGTCCATGGCTTTTTTGGCTTAGCAACCTCAAATCTGGATTCATTTACTACTGGTTCGGCAAAAGGTATTCCTTGGAAGGAGTGGACGGTCACACCATTTACAGTTGTTCTCGTTTTACCCTTAACAGTTCCAAGAGGAAAATCCAGTAGGATCTCATTGCTCTTGATCCAAAAATGATAGATGTAAAGATTAATAAACCACCAAAATAATATAACTATACTTAGTTGTTATTATTATTATTATATAAAGAAGGAACTTACATTTGAAGAACATTCCAACAGAACCGTGGAAATTAACAGCATATACAAGAGTAACATTGTCACAATTCACAATCGATTAAAGATTAAGATAAAACTAATAGTAATATCCTATACACAATATTATGTATGTTAAGTATTTAGCGATATGCATGCCAGTTATGATTTAAAGATAAATCAATTACCTATATATCTCTATCTTTAAAGTAAATAATAAAAACTACTTATACAGTATACCTACTTAATATCTTTATACTAGAAGTAATATAAAAACCATTATCAAAAAATTATATTTAAGTGACATGCAATCTGCAAATCATGCAATCTGCAAATCATGCAATAAAGAAATATTTGTAGTTTTCTATGACGATGATTCGAAGACCAAAAAATAACTTTAAAAATTAATAGTAATTATGTATGAGTTTACACTTGAGAAAGAGAATTTTTTATATTGATAAGAAAGTATCAATAAAAAATATCAATATATAATATAGATAACATATAAGACACCTGCATATGTACCTACGCTTTATAGATTTAATCAAAACATTCAACAGTGTTTGATTACACGACCTTAGAGAGATGTCTAAAGTGAAGAAAACCCCCGCTAACGTCACAAAAATAATAAATCACTTAAATATAAATAACATCAGAAACATAAAAACAAGTACCTACACAAATAACGAAAAGCATACAAACATCTGGAGTAAACAATTAGGAATCATCCCCAGAGATTGGCTGAATGTCTATCATAACACTGCCAAAAAAAAAAACAAACGCAAAAGAATGCGCTCACAATTTTTTTAAAAATTATTTTTCTTCTTCTTACGGTGCCTTATCCTTAAGGACGTTGGCCATTACATTTGCCCATTTAATCTTATTTGTAGCAGCCCTGAATAGTTCTATGGAGGTCATGTTCGTCCATTGCCGTAGGTTTTTAAGCCAGGAGTTGCGTCTTCTTCCTGGTCCTCTTTTGCTATTGACTTTGCCTTCGATTATAAGTTCATACTTTTGATTTCTTATGATGTGACCAAAATATTGTGTTTTCCGTTCTTTTATTATAAGCATAAGCTCTCTTTCCTTATTCATCCTCCGCAAGACTTCCGCATTTGTCGTATGGCTCATGTAGGATATTCTGAGCATTTTACGGTAACACCAGAGTTCGAATGCTTGGATTCTTTTTTGTGTTGCTTCTGTCATTGTCTAGGCTTCAACACCATAGAGCAAGGTGGAGAAAACATAGCACTTAAGTATTCTAGTTCTCAATGAGATGCCCAGCTGGCGGTTGCATAGAACTTTTTGCATTTTGTAAAACATTGTACGTGCCTTTTCCAGGCGTATTCTTATCTCTAGTGAGTGGTCCCAACTTTCATCAAGATTACTTCCAAGGTACGTTGTTCTTGTTACTCTTTCCAGATCTGTTCCGTCGACATTGATCTTCACCCTTCTCTTTTGATGCTTGCTGATGACCATCGTTTTTGTCTTCTTTGTATTCAATTTCATTCCAAATTCTCTACAGGCTGTGGTTACTCGGTCCATTAAGCGTTGCAGGGCTTCAGCATTATCTGCCAGTATGACAGTGTCATCAGCATATCGCAGGTTATTTATACATTGCCCGTTTATAATTATACCATCCGAGGTGCCTTCCAAAGCTTTCTGAAATATCTTCTCAGAGTAAACATTGAACAGCAAAGGTGATAGGACACATCCCTGTCTTACTCCCTTCTCGATATTGATTTTTTCAGATGTTTAGCTTTTTATTCTGATTTTAGCCTTTTGTTCTTGGTAGAGGTTTGAAATGATCCTTAATTATACACCGGAGAATCCACAACAAACTAGAGCAAAATATTAGTGATACATAATTTTGATTTAGAAATGCACTGGGAACGAGGGAAGCCTTATTCGTCCTAAATGTACGTGTGCAAAGTTCCCTCGTTCCATACGAGAAGACATACACTGGCTAATTATTAGCCAGTGTATGTCTGCTTTTTGGATTACAACACAATGTTCGATAAGGTCAGGCACAATCGCCTTATCAAATTACTTCTTCTTCTTTCTGTTTGCTCTATTCACTTGATCTTCTACTTCTGCTTCAAGCTTCCCATAGCTAGAAAGTGTGAAATTTAGATATTTAAACTCAATTACTTGTACTATCTATCCCTGCCACTCCACTTTTCATCTTAGCAGATTTGCTATTATGCATTTTGTTTTGTTTGTAGAAATTATCATGTTAATTTTTTGGCGGTTATATTATTATTTCTCCCATGATCAGGTTGAACAATAGAAGGCTCAGTGAGTCCCCCTGTTATTCCCTTGCCAGCATCAATTGATTCGTTAGTTCTGCTTCTATTTTTTTACTTTTATTGTGTTATTTTGGTATATATTTTCGATCGTTTTGATGATTCTTATTGGTATCTATCTTGCATATAATAAGTGGATAGCGTCCCTTAATGTGACACTTCAATTAAATGCCTTTTTCAGATCCACGAAACATAAATATGATGGTTTTTTGTATTCTAGTGATTTCGCCTGCAATTGGTTTATTATACATATAAAGTCGGTCCATGATCTTTTCAATCTAAAACCTTATTGTTCTTCTGTTAGTGTTATAATCTCATTCTGTTTATTATTTTTTGAATTAGTTTTAGTAGTTTGGTCAGATCTGATTCTCCGTACTCTAGGACTTCGTTCGGTATTCTGTCTTCTTCTGTTGGTTTTCTATTTTTTAATTTCCTTTGCCTCTTCCTCCTCAATATTTATTTTTTCGTTTGTCGTCAGGATACACCTTAATACGCAGTAATTGTGGGGGAATAAATAACAACATAAATTAAACAACTTCTTTATTTGTTAGTACAACATTTAATTTGATAACCTTAATCAACTGTCTTGTTGCCGTCAGGGTTTCCAAGCCATGGATAAACATCTGGACAATCTGCACAGCAATCCATATTTCTCGTTTCGTCTCCTTTCTTTAGATTACATAAATTGTGATAGCATAGAGTCGAATCAGTGAAATAGTCCGATTTATATGAAGTTTTATTTCTGGGATTTGACATATAAAGAAGTAGCTGAAAAAAATGAAGGTCTATGAATATAGATTATATAGATAGATAGCTAATATGTTTTTATGTATTTTTGGCTTTGAATAAGATAATTAATGTCGTCTAGAGAAATTGTGTCATAAACAGCTTAAATTTAATGTGTATTTGTGATTGTAAGAGGCGCAGCTATCAAAAGGTATAAGTATTTGTTGAATACAGGTTCGACACAAATAGGCTGTATAGTGGACACTTAAGACTATCCGAAAGACATAAACATATATCTAGGGTAAATATAAAACATCTTTCAGGTCGCATTATAGAAACAATAAGTCTACGAAGTTAAAGAACCTCTTTGCAATCTTCTAATCCTTCTTGTTAAAGACCTTTACAACCATTTATGCGTATTCATAGCTATAATATTTCTGGTAAGATCAACTGAACTGTCCACTATAACTTAATCTCTACGGCGACCTTTGTTACATGCCTTTTTCTAACTGGATTTTCCCTAAGTGTAATTTTTGGTTAGGGTAGATCGGGGCTAGTTGTGACAGGGGCATGTTGTGACAAATAGTTTTATAGACTAACCATAGGTAGCAGCGTTGCCCGGTTACCCAGAATTCCACGTCCGCATGTCCTCAGTCTGTTTGTGTAGTTTGGTTGTGATGCTATGCGTTTCTGCAGCTTTATAAAATTATATGTCATTTCGTTGTAACGAAGTAAAATTTTGCTGTTGTCTTTGAATTGTTATTTCACTTTCAAACCACAAGGTAAGAAACTTATTCTAGTTGTAGTAGATAGTTTGTTTATTTCTCTCTAGTAAGACACAGTTTGGTTTCTATACGACGTGTCAAGGTCTGTGCAAGTGGCTTTATGTAAAATGGCGTACGGTGGGGCTAGTTGTGACGAAAGGCTTGGGGCAGATTGTGACAGTGTCACAACATGCCCCTACTAATTTTAATGCATGTTTATGGGTTTGTTACAGATAATGGTGAGAAATTATAAAAGGAAAACGGAACGTGGTCGGAGTAATATAAACAGTTACGAGTCGGCTTCGTTAGATGTTAAGTCTGGATCGTGTAGTTTAAGGCAAGCAGCTGAAAAATATGGCGTTAACCGGATGTCCTTACTTAGATATATAAAAAAACAACAAACCAATCCAGATGGAGTGGTAGAAATGGGTTACAAAAGACCTCGAATGATATTTTCACAACAACAAGAAGAAGAGCTCTGTGAATATGCTGTTCAGGCAGCGAAAATATTTTATGGTATTAGCCCAAAAGAAATGAAAAGTTTAGCTTTTGAATTTGCTATAGCGAACAAAGTTCTTGTGCCTGAGAATTGGGTAGCAACAAAACACGCCAGTAATGATTGGTTTACAAAGTTCATGCAACGTAACAATAATGTGTCTATTCGTGTTCCTGAGGCTACCAGCTTAAGTCGGAGTACAAGTTTCAACAAGCACAATGTCGGACTCTTTTTTGATAACCTCGAATTAGTATTAAGTCAAAACCATTTTACAGCTAATGATATTTGGAATATAGACGAGACAGGGACTGGGACTGTCCAAAAACCGGTAAAAATCATAGCGAAGAAAGGCGAGAAAAGAGTTGGTGGTGTCACTTCAGCTGAGAAGGGGACCAATGTTACTATGGTTCTTGCTATTAACGCAGAGGGTAACTCAGTTCCTCCTATGTTCGTTTTTCCACGTAAGTTTTACAAGGAGCATTTTGTACGTGATGGGCCAGTAGGTTGTTGTGGTACTGCTAACCCAAGTGGCTGGATAACAGGCCCGGACTTTTTGTTTTTTATGAAGCATTTTGTAAAAAAAGTAAGGTGCTCAAAGAAATCACCGGTTTTAGTTCTGTTAGACAACCACAGTGCTCACCTATATATCGAAGTCCTTGACTATTGTACAGAGCACGGTATTACTCTCTTATCGTTCCCTCCCCATACAACAAATAGACTTCAACCACTGGATGTTTCCGTTTTTGGTCCATTTAAGAAGTTTTTAAACGACGCCATGTGTGGATGGATGAAATCTCATCCTGGAAACACAGTCTCAATTTATGACATCCCAAGTATAGTGAAAACAGCATTACCTAAAGCTGTAACACCAACAAATGTTCAGGCAGGATTTCGTTCTACAGGAATATGGGAATTCAATAGAAACATTTTTAATGAAGAAGACTTTCTGTGTTCTTCGGTGACCGACCGACCTTTGAATAGGCCTATTGACATCGTAGATGGTAATGAGGAAGCCAGTGCTGGGCAGCTTAAAGAGTTTCAGCATCTCGATGAACCTGAACCGTCGTCATATTATGCTAACCAGCCAGGACCCTCCCATACCTATCAACCAGGACCATATCAACAAGGATCATCGCAGGCCAACCTACCAGGATCATTCCATGCCGAAGTTCTGCCTGTCAGCCCTATGGATATAAGACCTCTGCCAAAAGCTGGTCCTCGAAAAAATAAAAAACGCAAGAGCTTAACATCTGCAATTTTGACTAGCACACCTGTCAAGGAGACAATTCGCAGTGAAGAGTTAAAGAGGAAGGAAACAATAAAGTGCAAAGAGGATAAAATAAAGAAAAAAATATTTGACTCAAAACAACTGTTGCCTAAGAAAAAAGCAGCGCCAAAGAAAGAGACCGCAACAAGAAAAAGAGAAGACAGCTCAGAAGAAGAGGAAGAAGATTACTTTTGCTTAGTTTGTATGGGACCATATAAAAAGTCTAGGTTAGGAGAAGACTGGGTGCAATGTATGGAATGCAAGAGGTGGGCTCATGTAAAGTGCACAAAAGATGATCTTTATTATGTTTGTATAAACTGCCACTCTTCAGAACTACAAGTAGAATCAGCACAAATTGACGATAGCGATTAAGTTTTTTATTTTACTTTAAATTTACTAGATGTTTTTCTACACATTTGTTTCTTACATAAACATTTATCAAACATTTATGTATCTATACTTAACTATAAAATAAATTTATTATGGAAACTTTGTTATTATTCTCCAACTAAAGTTTATTATATTTAAAAATATTTACTGTCACAACCTGCCCCAAGTTCGTCACAACTTACCCCATATTGGGGCAAATTGTGACAATATGTGCATTTTGTAAAACTATTTACATACTGTAAGGTATTGCTTAAAAATTGCTGATGTTCCCAAATAATGATTCCCAATTAAAAATAGTACCTCATTAAAGTAATCTAACAGCCCTAAAAATTACGAAAAAAATGTTAAAAATTATTTTGTCCAAAGTGGCACAACTAGCCCCAGTCTACCCTACTCCATTCTTCTCACGGGACCATACCATTAACGGCGGCAGATAATTAATATTAAGTAGACCTCTAGGATTCACTTTTCACCGAATATCGGCAGCGTAGGTCATCATCTTGGAAGAATTGTTGCTATTTGATATCGAATTGATTGATTGATTCTCTTGTTTGAAAGTTATTTTCTTCTCCAGCTCAGATTATTGTCCTTTTAAGTTTTGCATATAAATGCAATATAAAAAATTGCCACGATATGAAAAATTTAAATCAATATTATTTTTAAAAGTAAAATAATCACAAATATTTATATACTCTCTCGTCCAGACAATAGTCTCTTGTCCAGAATATAATATCATATTAAACAAACCGATTGTAAATATTCTATATTTTTTTTGTCAAAACGTCTTAAAGTTAGTTAATGCATACGGCCGTGAGATGATAGAGGTGTCGTTATTGTTTAACCTTGTTATTTGAAATGATAGTTCGACATCATGTGCAACAATACTATCATATTTTGAGATATGCCGTTCTATCTCAAAACCACAATAAGAAAATACAATACTTTCTGTGACGTATAATGCATTATTTTGAGTTTTGCCAGACTTTTACGGAAGTTAAGGTTGTGTTTAAAATGAATTGTAGTATTCTTTTAGTTATGTCAGTATCTTAGAAAATGATTAAAATTTTTTGAATTTTTGAACCAAACTATCTACAAGTTATTTAATAAAGACGTGAATTATCTCCAAACAACGAACATACTTTTTTTAAAGAACGTCACAACTCAGCAATATTATGGCCTATAATAAGATAGCTTTTTCCAGGCTAGTACACACCAAAGCCAAAAGATTAGCCTGTTCGTAGTTATGGGTAAAGTTTTATCGATTTTATAAATGAAAATGTCACATTTTGACATATGACGTTCTTCTTGGAAGTTATTTAACGATATGTTGTAATTAGTTAATAATTAATTAAAGCATCAAAGACACTAAGGCTCATTTAACTGTAGGAAATATTTAAATATAATTTGCAGATCTAGTCTCTCAAACAAGTGTTATATGGAAGTAATCAACTAATAAACTACCTAGATCAACTTCTTTAATTTTATCTTTTAACAACAATAATTGTGCTTATTAAATTAGAATTTAAATAAGATAAAGACTTTGAACTTTCTTTCACATAATTACCTGACTATGAGATACAAGAAATACATCCAGTCTCGCCTTCATATTTTTCAAGAAAATACCTAGAGCTGTATAAGTGTTTTTAAAGCCCGTGAAAAATGCTGAATCGATGTTTAAGGTCAGTGGAGCCTTGGTTGTGTTTCTCAATTTATCCACTTCATTAGTAAGCCAATTAGAGATCAGAGAGGCTCTATCCCTGCAATAAATCAAACAATAAAGCATAAGAGAGGTATAACAAGCAAATGTACTTCGTGTTAAAGTCTTAACATATCACCAATAATTCCTAATTATTTTTGTTACTTACAATCATTAATAAAACAGGAAAATATATTCTATTTATTTTCGATATATCTCAGCTCAAATAAAACAAGTTTTTTTGTCTCGTCCGGTTTTCCGTTGAGATACCTGCTACAACAGGTTGTTTCTTTTAGTATGTATCTAAATAGACAAGGCGAAAAGCTCGGGTTCCTTCGGAAAAATATTCCCATAAGATTTTTGCATAATCACTTTCATGAGATACCCCAAAATGAGGTTCAAGGGGTCGCCCAGGCGAAAAGTTGTTCAGAATTTCATAAACAATTTTTTTTACAAATTGTAACAATCAATTTTTTCGGACTGGACAATTTTTGTGAATTTTTTGAATCAATCTGAACAAAATATAAAAATGATATCAACCCCATGACAGTTTGTAGTTGGTATCTTAAGTGTTGGTAATAATTTTTATAAATAAAGCAAAGTTGAAAGTTTTTTTTTGATAATGAAGATAATTAATTATGAACGTTACTATAACTCGGTATTCATTTCAGATGTTAAGAGCACAGAAACCACGAAAAATTGCTACCTTTTCAAAAGAATCAATGAGTAGGACGGTAAATTTAGTTATAAATGAGAAAATGTCTTTGCGAAGAGCCTTCGAATTATGTGCTGTACAATTTCAAACGCTGCAAAGATATGTTGCTAAAAAACGCTTGACTGAAGGGGAACTTTACATGACCCATAATTATGGCTGCAGATTGGTGTTTAACGAGGAACAATAACAAAATTTTAAAGAGTATTTGGAAATCTGTAGCAAAATGGCGTAGGGGCTAACGACTATAGGTTAATGAACTAAGATGTTCGTAAACTGGTGTATGAAGTTTCTGTTGTAAATAATATGAAAACGCCAGAATCATGGAATTCAACAAAAATGGCAGGTGAAGTTTGGCTATGAGGTTTTATGTAACGCTGCAAAACTTTAAGCATAAGACAACCAGAAGCTTGTAGCTTATTAAGAACGACTTCTTTTAATAGACACAATGTAGGAACTTCCTTCGAAAATCTCCGAAATATATTGAATAAAAACCCTTCACTTTCCCAAGGATCGAGAACTTTTAATTTAGATGAAACCAAGCTCACCACTGTTCAGAACCCAAAATAGATTATCGCAACAAAGGGTGTCAAGCAAGTTGTTACGAACATGCATTCGGCGTGGCCCGTGTAAGGGTTGCATCTCGAAAGCGACTAGAAGTTTCCGGCGATGTATCGAGCGCGAGAGAGATCAACCCGTCAAATAGGCGAATTAGAGGTGGGCTACTCCAAAATGTTCTAGTACATAGTGACTTTAATATAAGCATACCTTCTAGGAGTTAAGTTTAGTTGATAAGATATTACCGAACTGTAAACTTATAAATAAATATATTTATATAAATTCGAACCGCTCGTTTTATTTAAAAACTGTTAAGTACCGATAAGAGCACAGATCTATCTAATGCACCAGGTCCAAGTCATGTTAATGCTGCTGTAATAAATTCTGTTAGCGGAGATAATTATGTTGAGACATCAAATCGACAAGCTGAAGGAACTGAAGTTGCTCAAGTAACAAGTTTTTAAGCCCTGAAATTATACGAGGGTTTTTTAAAGCAAGATCAAGGAAGACTACCAAGGTAATAAGAAATAAAAAAGCGTAGTGCTAATAGATACCCTGAGAAATTACTTATTGAAGAAAAAGAAAAAAAGAAGGCAATGAGCCAAAAAAGTCAAACCTATATGAATAAATTAAAATCGTTAAAAAAGGATAAAAACGTAAAGATACCATCGAAAAGCAGAAATATTTCAGAAGAAGTGATACGTCAAAGTGAAGAGGAAGTCAAATATAAAGGGAATTCCTCAGACATGGAAATTGATGAAGAAAATTTTATGCTGGATCAAGATTCGAATATTCCAATACCAGAAGAAAAATTTGTGCTCATACGGTTCTCTACTAGAATACACTATGTTGGAAAAGTAATGGTAACAAAATAGCTATAATACTTCATATTATTGCATATTTTTTAATTTTTCTTTTAATTACAGAAGCAAAAAAGCAAGATGAATAGTTTAAAGTGTCATTTTTGAGGAAAAGCAATAAAATAGACAGTGCTTTTGTCTTTCCTAACGTAGAAGATATCGCTTTAATAAGAAAGTCAAATGTGGTATTTGTGCTTCCAGATCCATTACTAGCTTCCACCAAGCGACAATACAACATTTTTAAATTTGGTATAAAATATTTGGGACTCGATGTTTGATAAGGAAACTGAAATACTTATGTCTAACTGTGCCTCGTATGAGGTACACAGTGAGACAGTTTTCATGAAGAAAATAAACGCTTGTTCACAATTTGTGTTAGCTTTTTTTCAGTTTTAATCTATTGTGTTGTTGGTGTAAATAGGCATCTAAACCGTAGTTAAGGAATTAAATTTAATTTTGAAAATTGCCGAGTTCTATTTGAAGAAATATTATTTTTGTCTAACTCTGGACCATCCTCCCCTACTTTATTGATGAATAGTGTTAGCGAAAGAAACACTTACAATATCAAAAAAGAAAAAGAACAAAGCAGAATGTTGAAATCGTCAAAAAAACTTAAAATGGACAAGTCAATCCAATTATAGAATATTTTCTTACGAGATTGAAAGAAGTTCTCTATGGAGAATTCCTAATCTCTACTACTTTTAAATTATAGGTTTTTTTATTTTAAGCAATGTTTGTGATATTTAAAAGAGAAGAAACAGTTTACTTACTGAATTCCACATTTGGATAAATAAGTACATTCCTTGCCGTCCATGCCCTTTATTGTGTTAACTGGTAACACCCAAAATCCCGGAAAAGCTTCATTGGGACATACGCTATCGGAGCTACATGTTTGCGTAGATTTATAATCTAAGGTGTAAGGAAATAAGGGCGTTGATGAAAGCCAAGAATTATCGTACGTAAAATTTGCTTCACGGTAAGCCTTTATAGAGACATTTCCCGCGAGTGTAAATTGGGGAGTTCTAACTCCTTGTATTTCGTTGATAGGTATATTAGCAAAATGTGACAAAATATGCTTTTGACCTTTAAATTCTTCGATCAATGTTTCTTCGGATGCACTTTCCCAATAAGCAGGTGAGGTATTTTTCCTAAAACAAAAAGTTAATCGTATATTATGTGTAAAAGAAGAAACAAATTTTAAACAGCCTTACTTCGAAATAACTCACATTACTCTTTACGGTTATAGGAATATCAAATAGAGTTGTAGTACTCAAAATTAATGCTAAACCAGTTAACGTGAACATTATTCAAGCATATGCTCCCACTTCGGAAAGCTCAGAGTAAGAAATATAAATATTCTATGAACAATTTAAAGAATCCCTAAAACATACCAAAAAACAAGAAATTAATATCCTGCTAGGAAATTTCAACGCCAAAGTAGACAAAGGAGGTGTTGGCAATACTGTGGGACAGTTTGAACTAGGAACGCGAAATGATAGAGGAGACCGCCTTATTCAGTTCTGCCAGGAAACGGATAGTGCAATAATGAACACCTTTTTCGTATTACCACCTCGAAGACACCTCTACACCTGGAAATCTCCAGCTGACCGTAAAATCCGCAAAAACATCTCCAGGAGCAGATGTTTCATCAGACCATAATCTTTTACTAGGGCGTTTCAAACTCCACATGAAAAAAGTCCATAAAAGAAAAGCACAAAAACGTCTGGACATCCAGAAGTTGAAAGATAAAACCACAAGAGACGAAGTCAAAGAGGAGAACAATAACAAAATAAACAGCATGGTAATCTCAGATATTAATCAAGAAAACATAAGTGTGGATGTTATGTGGAATAAAATTAAAAATATCTGTAATCAGTGGTAGATAATAAACCAGAAAACAATATTAAGAAACAGCCGTAGATGAGACAAGAAATATTAGAGCTAATGGAAGAACGAAGAAAACACAGAAATAAGAATGAGGGAAGGTACAAAGAAATAAACAAAATCATTATGAAAAAGATCAAAAAAGCAAAAGAATCATGGCTATAAGATCAATACATAGAAATAGAATCCCTAGAACAAAAGCACGACACTTTTAACCTACATAAAAAGATCAAAAACTTAATGGAAGAAGACCGATCACGAAGTCATATCTTAATACTAGAAGAGCACAACAATCTACTCTACGAAAATGAGAGAATACTTGAGAGATGGAGGCAATACATCATCATCATCATCATCTTGGTGCTACAGCCCTTAGAGGGCCTCAACCTTCTCAAGCTTTCTACGCCATTCTGTTCTGTTCCTTGCTTGAATTTTCCAGTTGCCGAATCCGATCTTCTCCGCATCTTGTGTTACCCCATCCATCCACCTCAGCTTTGGTCTACCCCGTCGTCTCATTCCCACAGGTTGCGCTGTTAGAATCTTTTTTATCATGTTCGATTCAGGGGCCCGGGCTACATGTCCTGCCCACTGCAGGCGGTTTCGCTTAATTATAGTGGTAATATCTTTACCACCAAACGTATGCTTGTAGATATTCTGCAGTTCGAAGTTATATCTACGCCTCCAAATTCCGTTCTCACAGACCGCTCCAAATATCTTGCGTAGCACCTTTCTTTCAAAAATGGATAGAGCGGATTCATCTATTTTCGTTAGCGTCCATGCCTCTGATCCGTATGTGAGAAGGGGGACTATCAGTGTTCTATAGCTTATACGAGTTTTTTGAGACAGACGTTTGTTAGCCAAGTACTTTGATAGACCATAATAACACCTGTTTGCAATTATTATTCGCCTTTTTATTTCCTCAGATGTTTATTATTGGGGTTAACCGATGTCCCTAGATATATGAACTCATTGACTGCTTCGAAGTTTTGGTCATTGATGATTAAATTTGTGTCAACATTTCCAGCTCTTGTGTTTGTGTTAGTCGCCATGAATTTGGTTTTATTTTGATTTATATGTAACCCCATTCGTTCTGCTGCTGCTACTAGCTCGGTTAGGATTTCCGCAGTTCTCGCCCTAGTTCTTGTTATAATGTCCACGTCGTCTGCATATGCTAGAATTTGGACTGATCTATTAAATATTGTTCCCCTGCTATCTAAATTAGCGCCTCGTACAACTTTTTCTAAGGCGACATTAAAAAGCTGACATGCCAGCGCATCTCCCTGCCTTAACCCCCTATGTATTTGAAATGGGGTTGACGAGTCGTTTTGAATTTTTACTGCTGATAGCATCTTCGCCATTGTCACTTTTATCAAACGTATGAGTTTTTTTGGAATTCCCAACTCATTCATAGCGTTGTAAAGACTTGGTCTTAAGACACTGTCATATGCCGCTTTAAAATCGACAAAAATATGATACATATCTATGTTAAACTCTTGCGCTTTTTCGAGGATCTGTCGTAGTGTAAAGATCTGGTTAATGGTTGAACGTCCAGGCCTGAATCCTGCCTGATATTCCCCTAGAAACATTTCAGTATAAGCCATAAGTCAGAAAATATCTTGTATGCTGTATTTAGGAGAGTTATTCCGCGGTAATTATTGCATTCCAGTTGGTTTCCCTTTTTGTGTAACGGGCAAATTAAGCCTAAGCTCCATTCTTCTGGCATTTGCTCCTCAGACCAAATTCTACAAACAATTTCTCGCATCACCTTGGTGAGCTGCTCTCCACCGTGTTTAAATAACTCTGCTGGGATGCCATCGCTACCTGGGGACCTATGGTTCCTTAGTTTTTCTATAGATGTTTTTACTTCATCTACCGAGGGGGTTCCACGAGTTCCTCATTTCGGTATTCCAGCTCTATATTGTTAGTAGGTTCCCCTTCCAGCAAATCTCGAAAGTGCTCTACCCATCGTAAAAGGATGTCCTCTTTGTTGGTAAGTAAGTTGCCTTCCTTATCATTACAATAGTTGATTCTTGGTTTGAATTCTTTTCTAATACTATTTATTTGATGGTAGAACTTTCTTGTTTCTCCGTGACTCATATGGCTTTCGAGCCGTTCTAACATGTCATTTTCCGAGTCTCGTTTCTTTTTTCGGTGTTTTTCCTCTCTCCTTAAGTTTTTGTATCTATCTATTGTTGTTCTAGTTTTTCGTTGTTGCATGGTTCTAAATGCCTCGTTCTTCTGATGGAGGCAATACATGGAAGAATTATTCAAGGAAGAGCAATAGACAGAAGCCAGTGTTTCTGGATGTTCAGGACCAGAAATAACGCTCAGTGAAGTAACCAGAAATAAGCTCAGTTTTTTGTGTGTGTTTTGGCTTGGACAATTGTCATTCAGCCAGTCTCAATCAAGATAAGTTTATTAATGTAGTTTGTGTGTGTTTGTGTGCGTAAAGTAATTGTCTTGTTACTTAGCAAAGTCGACGTCATTATCTTTGCTAAGAGACGCTAATTGTATCCGAACGTCTGCGGTCCCTCCGGTGTGTACCGATCACACAAGGATAGAAATTATTTTCATTTATTAATTTTTTTTAATAAACGAAAATTTCCACCCAGGTGGGATTCGAACTCACGACCTTTAGGTTTAAAGGCAGGCGCTCTTACCACTGAGCCACAGAGGGGGTTAACAACCAACTCAAACTCCTAACGAGTCTACTGAACAAAATCTATGAAACTGCAGAATTTCCTACAGATTGGCTAGTTTCCACCTTCATCCCTCTCCCCAACAAGATGAATGCCACCAGATGCTGAGATTACAGAATTATAAGCTTAATGAACCATGCACTCAAAATCCTTCTTTCTATTATTCACTCTCGCATATATAGAAAACTTAAAGAAAACATTAGCAGTGTTCAGTTTGGGTTTAGAAGCGGACTGGGAACGCGAGGGGCCTATTTTCCATACAAGTATTGATACAAAGAGCTCAAGACGTAAATTGCGAAGTCTACGCATGCTTTATAGACTTTGAAAAAGCATTTGACAAGGTGCAACATCAAAAATTATTCACAAACCTCACAAGAATTCACGATAAAACAGAAAGTACGTCAGGGCTGCATTTTGTTATCGACGTTGTTCAATATTTACTCGGAAATGCTGTTCAGGGAAGCTATTGATGGTTTAAGAGAAGGTATAAAAATCAATGGTAAAATCATAAACAATTTAAGATATGCGGACGATACGGTTTTGATTGCTGATAATGCGGAGGATCTGCAAACATTAATAGACTGTGTAGTGGAAGCCTATGACAGATACGGCATGAAATTAAACTGTAAGAAGACCAGAATTATTGTAGTAAATAAAAACGACGTAATACAGCACCAATTCACAGCTAATAATAAACTCTTGAAAATAATCGACAAAATTACATATCTTGAATGCAGCCTAAATAAGGAATGGGACCACTCACAGGAAATAAGATGTAGTACAGAAAAGGCGAGAGCTGTCTTCAATCGCATCAGGAAGATTTTATGTAATATGCACCTGAACTTTGATATAAGAACACGAGTCTTGAGATGCTATGTATTTTCTACCCTTTCAGCCAAGATAGAAGGCAAAAGATCTCAAGGGCGCAGAAGGACATCGTGATTGAACAACATCAGACAGTGAGCAGGAATGACTACTGTACATCTATTTAGAGCAGCTGTCAACAATGTTGTATAGACTCCACAGAGGATAGGCACCAAAAGAAGAAGAATCTTTACGTAATAATCAAAACATTTAATTCAAATAATATTCAATTTAATAAAGTAGGCTGTTGTTTTATGAAGCATTTGTCCAGAATCTAAGTAAATATTGTATTTTTTTCTTTTCAATTGCCCAATATACACCGTTAACTCATAGAAACAATATACTTACGTTATGGAATTTACCCCCACTTCAAATCCAAAATTGTACATCTCATTGACAGCTTGATAGTTGGTATTATCATGTGGAATAAAAAACGTGGCACTAATTGGTCTTGCATCAGGATTGACTAAATGTATCAATAATGGCAAGTAAACGTCATCTAACATTTGCTCCGTCATGTGGTCGTCAAAAGTTAGAGTAATAAACTAAAAAAATATTCATTAATAATCATGGACGTATAAACACAGATGGACTCAGTTATTTACATAAAATTGTGTAGTCAAAATTATTTGAATAGGTCACATTCTCAGCACCTTTAACTGTTGTCACGTTTTGTATTAAAATTTCTTATTCGCGAGTCGCTGAAAATATCACTCCGTATTTTATACTCTACAGGTGCTATCAAACCAAAATAATAATTTATTGGTTAGATTAATATATTTAATTGTAATCAAAATATCAAGTGTGCACATAGTGTGCATTATGATTTAATAATAGCGTATAATAGATATAAATCAATTATTTTATATGTAGAAGCACTGAAAACTATTTATAAATGGCAACGGTTGTTTACATTTCTCTGTCTTATGGATCTACGTCAAACTTCAAATGCTGTTCCATGTTTGTTTACTTTTTACAGTAGATGAGGAAAAGTTGTTTTTCGATATTTTTTCTGTATTTTGAGTAATATTTGTGAAAAGTGAAATAAAATAAACCAAATATTTACATCCCGATCTCTCATTTCATTTGTAAGTACATACAATTTACATTATTTAAGATGAGGAAATGAGGAAGCATATTTGTTTACATTTTAATAGGCGTACCATTGGGTTTATTCATGTTCATTAATGTATTGAATAAGATATGAGTTCATGAAATTAGTGACATACACGACATTTTTAAATTGTAAGTAGACATCATCTGATTAAAAAAGATCTGTTTAGTACCTTTTTAATTTAATATTTCTCATGGATACAAATAAATTAGTGAAATGAATAAAACTCATTTATTTTTCTATGTAGGTTTCCAAATAATATTGACGATCGAACTATTTGGGTAGCAAATTTAGGAGAAAACATAAAGATTTTTTATTGTAGCATTATTTTGATACCTATTAAAAAATTAACTTGAATTCAACTATATTTAATTGTATTAATTTTAAAGCAAATAAAATTGTATTTTAATTTTTCTATAAAGACGTGATTTGTTAATAGTTAAACTCTCGTTTTATTTAATTCTTTGAACGTGTTTTTATACATTATTACTACTTCCAATTTTTAAGATCTGAATAATTACCCGCGAGTAAAAATTCAAGCATGCTTATGCTCATTGCGGAAGCATCACATTCTATCGAAGCTTCAAAACATTGTGTGTTAAAGGTATCTTATTGCTGTGTCCATCTATGTTTATACGTCCATGTTAATAATTAATTTGTTTAGAATATTGTTAAAATGTTCATAATATTTATTATTAACTCGAGACGATGTTTTCTGATTATTTTATTCGTTTAATTTATTGATACCCATTGACTGTATGTAGTTCTTATTTTCGATGTTTAAAATTTTCAAATTATTATTTAATCAACTAACGAGATCGCGAGCACATTCGAGGAACTACAAAACTATGGCGGATGGACTCGTAGACACCTTCCAATACGTCGGCGTCGACCTAAAAATGATTATTACAATACAAATACAAAAAACAATGACAAACACAGATGACCCTAGACGTATAACTATAACCCTTTGTCCCATATATCCCAGTCATGAAATCATCAAGTCTGTCATGAATTTTTATTGTAACCAACTTTTTAAGAACTTAATAACAATTTTAAAAGAATAATTTGTGTGAGAGGCTACATTGCGAAATGTTTTCGCGCTGTATTTTTCCGTGATGTATATCTGCGGAATGTGTTTATGTAGTTTTGTTGATGATTACCACAGGGAAAGTTGTGCGCTGTTACTGTTGTTACGAATTTGTTTTTGTGAACAGAAAAAGATAAATATATTCAATAAAACTAGTAATTTGTTTTGTGGGTAAAATATGTCCCAACCGATAGGAGGAAGCAGCCATTTTTTGCGAGCACTACAGAATCAGAAGTCGACCTTTTTGACACTAGTGACTCCGATGTTGAAGACAACAATCCATCAGGATGCAAAGGAGAAGTAGAACGAGAGCATCACAAAATAGATTCAGTCAATAAAATGGATGAAGAGAATCAGATGGTAAGTGATGAAAGTGAAGAATAAAAGCAGTAATGACGAGAATGATGAAGACGAACCAGGTTATTGGTTGCATAACGATGTAACTTTTTTACTACGTTGATCGGTTCTATGGCACTATAGTTTGCAGATGACACGATACTAAAGACTTGTAAAAATGAAGAATGGCTCTAAAATGAATGTGTGATGTCCTTAACTTTTCGATATGTACAATAAGAAAATGGGCGGCGTGGACCTGGGTCATATTTTGGGTTTGTATGAATTTGATCAAAAGTTTTATTTCATTGGAAAGAAGCCATGCTTTTGTTAAAAGAAAAGCCTCGACTTCACTTGAACGTCCTTCTGCAAAGAAACAAATAAAATGTTCAACGGGGAGATCATTTACCTATCGAAGGAAAGACCCGTAGAAGATGTCAACGATGTTCTTCTTAGAAAATATAAAACGAATCACCATACTATGTCAGAGCTGCAATGTACCCTTGTGCAAAACATGTTTTATACCTTCTCATTTTTATTAAATATTGATCTTAGATTTAGTCCTTTACAGGGAACCTATGGTCCCACATATAAGTCCCAAAAAGTCTGACTGGGACACATATGTCCCGGACAAAATGGCGGATCTCAAGGATAAATTTATCTTAATCACTTTTATTTTTGCATAATTATACGTTTTAAACAAAAAATTCTAAATTCCATACCGATCCGGAAAAAAAATCCGACTCAAAAGAGATAAAGGACAATGAGAACACGTCCAAGAATATATATATACGTAGACCAAATCTTGAAACTTGACAGTGTGACCTGACAAGAGAACCAAAGTGTAGGTTCTGCTTCGTAAAGCAGAATAACTGTTTTACGGAGGAAAGCAATAGATGGAGGAATGACGAGAACGGACCGTCCATTCTACCACTTATTTATTTCTTTATCCTACCTATATACCTAGATACTTACTTGTGGCCAATCATCAAGCTTAGTTGTAAAAGGAGAACTTGCATCTGAACACCTACAATTAGTTTGAATGGTACATATGGTAGGATCACATTTCTCAGCGGGTTCTAAGCACACTAATTGAATAAGAAACGCTCCAAAAACTAAATAGAGTATAAATTTAAGACTATCCATTTCTGCTGGAACTCAATAATAAACTTAAAAATTATTAAGATTATTGAATCATGTGTTATCGCAATAAATGAATAGCTAGATAACATTCTCATATCATATTTTATATTAAAATTAAGAAATAGTTCATTAATATACTGTCTGTACCATCTAAAGTAGAAACATATCTTTAAATTTTTTTAGTAATTAATTAATCTGAACAAAAGTATTTTAAAGGTCAAGTAGTAAAAGGGCTACGGGAAAAAATTTAAATGTTTCTCTAACTTTTGGGATACATTTTTTTTGTAGTCGAAAATTGGATATTTGTTTTATCTATATTTTTAGTAAAATTATATTTATATAAAAATACTATTTCACTATATTTCCGTTCGGTTTAAGACTGACTCTGAGTTCCTTACTATTTTAGTCAGGAGAGACTATTTGTGAATAAAGTATAACCAAATAATAAATAATGTCGAATAAATTGACTTCACAAAAAGTGTAGTTTTATTTTATAAACCCTAACCAAATCCCAACATCAATCAATAATATTTGTGTTTAAACATGTTTGAGTGAAATGCCAACTTGTGTGTTTTAAATATGAAATAGTTTTAGCAAAACATTCATCCTGATACACCTCTGCGTATTCCAATAATATTTCCTAATTGAAAATTTTCAGAAGCTGGTATTTTGTCTCTCTCTTCACATGACCTAGATATAGTAATTTTGTCTCTACTTAATTGTTCAGTTACTTAGTTATATGGAGAGATAATTAATATATTTTATTAGCGTTCTAAGATACTTGTCCTTTTGCATTTTTGTGCCCAGATTAATGTTAACTCATAGTTTAGAAAAGCCGTATATATTTATTGAACTATTCCTTGGAAATTATCAATATTCTCCGTTAATAACACAATTTCGTCTACATATCTCGGGTTATTTTTATGGATTTCGTTTACTGGAATTCCTACAGTATTATTTTCCAGAGCCTCCTGCATGATCGCTTCAGAGTACAAGGCCAAAATTAATGTAGAAATACCGCTCCCTTGCATTATCCCTAGTTTATTTGATGTTTTACGGTTTTGTGTTGTCTAGTTTTGTATACTCACTGGTGATAATATAGATTTTCTATAATTCTTATATCTCGTTTATCTTTTTGTTTTTTATAATCTATAAAACATGAACACATCTTTGTTCATATCCAAGTATCGTTCTATTAGTACTTTTAAACTGAATAAAGAATCTCTAATTCCATTGCGGAAACTGAACTGGGTGTTGCTCAGCTTGTGAGTAATTCATTATATTAATTATTATTTAATTGTTTGATAATCGAAAACTACCGGCAACTAAATATTAGAACATTTTTTCTGTTCCTCATGTTCCTTAAGTAGGTAGTTCGTTGTAAACAATAATTGTCATGCGTCATTCGAGTCTGAAGAATAAACAACCGTCACTTTTATTAAGAGTTAAACACTTGCTACCAAAATCTCTCTCATTAGATGCTATATATTTTCTATCTTATTATACGGAGTAGAGACCTAGACACTTTCCGAAGCTTCTTTAAGAAAACTCGTCACCTTAACACCATCAAAGAGCGCAAACTAGAATATCTTGGCCATGTTATGAGGAATAAACAGAGATACGGCTTGTTGAAACTCATTCTTCAGGGCAAGGTAGTTTAATACATCGACAACCGGACTATTCAGAATAGCAGCAAGCAAAGTTAGGATAGCCATGTTGATTGCCAACATCCGGAACGGATAGGCACCGTAAGAAGAAGAAGAAACACAATAATGGCACGTGAAAAACCTACTGATCCAAAAGTTCAGTGAGAAATTATTATTCATGAGTACCATAAAGGAAAAACAATGTGTGAAATTTCCAGTGAATTGACTATAGCAACAACTACTGTGTTTAATATAATTAAGAAATATGGTGAAACTGATAGTATTAATGATCGCGGCAAAAGCACAGGTTGTCTAAAAACTGTTTCTCAAAGGAGTGTAAGAAATTTTATTTAGAATAGTAAGACAAGAATAAATACACTAAGAGAAGTAACTGTTATAAACGTTTCCAGATAATTCTGTGGCAAACATATCCACAAAAGTGGTCTTAGTTTTTATAAGATAATTACTGAAACACATAGAAAAACCACTGTTGAGGGAAACTCAAAAAAGGAATCGTTACATTTGCACTAAATCAAAACTTTCGTGGACCAAAAATAACATAATTGGGATAATAATATTTCTGGTGCAATTCGGAAAATAATAGAAGCATTCCATAAGGATTGTAAAATGTTAGAAACTTTACATGTTATTGAAGGCATAGTAAATATGCCTTCTTGAATATTCGTTTTTATCAAGTAAACCAAAGTTATATCCGTCCGGAGATTTTTTCTTTCTAACAAATTTGTCTTAAAATTTATCTTCAAAAAAATGGATGGGAGAACATGGCCTAACAGTTTTGTCACATTCTTCTCGCATCCTGGATTTTAATCCGATAGAGACAGAAATAACTCTTAGCATACCTACTTGGAAACAACTACATGCTAAATTGTAAGAAATATGGGATAGTTTCATCTCTGAATTCTGCGAAGGCTTAGTTGACACAATACCTAATAGCGCCCTCTAGCCGGCTTCAATTCTATCTTAATGCAGTCATTGGGAGTTCTAGGTTATTTAGTAAAACTCTGTGTTTCTCTGTGTGCGACATTACCCACAAATCCGGTATTCCTCCACTTCATCCTAATCATTTTCGATATAACTCGAAAGTCTGTTATTTCTTCATAAATCATTCTTAGAATCGAACGAATCACTTCGCTTCTCGAGAAATAAAACAGTTCACTTGTTTACGATTTAATAAAAAACATTTCCATTAAGTAATTATAAACACCTCAACATTAATGCTTATGGTACAACTACAGCAATATATTGATGACCAAAAACCCAGTTTGTTTATTAAAATATAATTAAAACTCTTGATCTGGTCCAGTCTATTAAGTTAAAACCCTCACCACTTATCATTAGATCTTGACAGTATTAAACATATCTCATCTATGTGTTAAACAAATTAATCGTTGATGTTGCCTGTTTTATTTTTGTTTGTAACAAGATAAGCTATGATTCAGTTAGCCATTTTTAAGTAGTATGTAAAATATAAAAATGTATTAAATGACACATGTAATTATGAATTAATGTTGTTGGAGTATATATGAGTAGTGTTGCAGACTACCTTGAAAATAACTTCATTTACTACATCCCTATAAGTAATTACTGAAACTGAAACATGGAATGAAGCTTTTTGCTAATAAACCAATAGTTTCGAAAAGGTTGGTTCACTACTCATCCAAAGAAACTGGCTCGCAGTCTAACTTTTAGACCTATTGCGATTTACAGACTCAATTGGTATACGCCAAGCTACTTAGATGCTGGATTTTAGTGTGTTGCGTCCAAAAATTGTAAACTTAATTTTTTTAAAATTGGTAATTTAGAAAGTACAATCACTGAGCACTTACGAAATTACGATCCAACCATTTCCTTGTTATATATTTTTAAACAGATTTCAAATAAAGTGCTCTTTAAATAAAAAAAAACAGTTTCTAAACATGCTTTGTTTTTTTCTAAAACGCCATAATTCAAACCTGATTTCTAAAAAACTTAGTTTACTTCTACTACTAAGATAATTTCGGGAAATTTTGCTGCGCATAAGAGCGCGTGCCCATTGTCGGATTTTAATGACAGGTCTTTATCAAACTGAAATTTGATTACAGATGCACTACAAAAATAAATCTATGGAAGATTAAAGAAGATAACACAATATAAATACCACGTAATAAATTTAGGACGACAAATGAAGAAATTAAATAAATAGAAAGAAATAGGGGAACAAAAAATTACGTCTTAAGCCTGGACGGAAATATAATTCTTACAGTACTATAGCAAGTCTATTTTGACTTGCTATAGTACTGTAAGACTTAAAAACATATTTTTGTTAACCTATTTCAAAAATATGGAACAATAAGACATAGTCACACTTTTGAAATGTTAAATGGTTGTAGGAAAAAATTGTGTCTGCAACACATAACCTAAATATAGTTTAACTTTATTGTACTTATATTTGTTCTCGCAATTTTTCTTAATAGTCTATGATAAATGTGGCAAGAGCTCGAAGGTAAAAAATAAAAAACACAGTAACACGTTTATTGATTGACTTTTTTTGGCGGGTTGGTCTCTTGTGATGCGTCTTTGTCGTCTATCTCGTCTGCTTTTCTTTTCCTCTTGACCAGATGTGAAATGTCAGTAGCAGGCTTTGAAGAACTGGTAGACGGAGCTGGTTTGTCTGATTTTATTCCTTCTGTCATGGCCGATACTATATTTTTCAGTGCCTATAAAATTAAACCAAAAAAAAAATATTGATGGTGTTTAGTAATCGACTAACAAAACTATACTCAGTGCAAGACTGCAGTAACTCAAAATTTTATGAAAATGTAACTTTAGTAACTTTCAAATGCTTAACCGGCTAAATATTACAACAATAGTTGCGTTTTTGTACATAAGTTCCGTAAAAAACTGTTGTAATTCTAATGTAACAGAGTTACAACAGTTTTGCACGGAACATTGCAATGGTTTCGATAACAAGCAATGGAAAATTATCGGAAATTCCAAAGAAAATCATGGAAAATTAAATATCCTATGCTATATATTCTGATTTTAGGAAAAATATCGACAACGTCGTATTTTCACTGTCAATAAATAAACAAGTGAATTCTATCAGAAGGTGGCTAATTTCAAAAATAAATCGATCTAACATCGATCGAAACAACTACAGTAACCTTCAGACGTACAATGGCAAAGTGAGTAGTGGCAAGTGATCTGATGAATGCTCTTTACAACAAATATTGTTAGTACAGCCCATGGATGTCGCTCGTAATTCTGTCTTCTATTTTTCTTTGCGTACCTAACACGTTCACCACCTATGTATAATTGAACTATACTCTCCATGGTCCTTCCGATTCTTATTTTAGCATAGTACGCCAATATGGCGACTTTAACTTGTAGTTTACAGTGCCGACTGCATATTCAGCGGCCTTGTTACATTAAAAAAATATTACCGACATGTTTAAAAATAGACCGACAGTGAACGTGTTAAGAAACAAATTTGTACCTTATTGTTAAGATGAACTGGATGAGAAAAGTTACTTTAGGTACTAATCCTCCCTTGAGCGATTCCTATTTTATAAGATTGTGCAATTCCTGGGTGAGCACTATTAGGATAGTTTTCACACATTTTTTTGTATGAATTCTTTTAATATTCTGCGATATTTTAAAGTACTTCATCACAATTTTTTAAGACTGTACGAATATTGAGTTTTTTGTCACAGTTAGTAAAATAGGAATGGTTTTATGAACTACTTTTACTGTGAAGCTTGCAATTATTTAATAAATCACAACTCAACATGTTGTGCTTTGTTTAATTATTTTTTTATTTGACTATCTCTACAAGACTTTCGCACAATGCTACTCTACAGGTTTACTCCCGTTCGATTTTTTCTTCTTCTCAAACAGGAAAAATGATTTAGTGGATTTAGTGACTAAATATTTACAGTGCGACAGATTCTTGAGAAAATCCTCCGAGTTCGGCGTCCATACCCACCAAGTATTCGTCGATTTTAAAGCCACATACAACTCAGTATACTATATAAAGTAAAAGAACACCGATTGTAGAGCAAGCATTACAACTTCAGTTACATAAAACTCTACGAGAACTTGGTGTGGTGAAATTGATTAAGGAAACACGCCTAAGATGGATACTTCTATAAGTTTATTGAAGCCATATCTGTGTAAAATTTGACTTTTAATATGCAAATTAGCAAATACGAGGATATATTGATATTAAACTAGCCTTTGATAGATGGCACTACTTGATACCGAATTGGTTTCGGTGTTCACATTTGCCATTCATGACGTCTGTCAAAATTTTAAGTATTAAAAACAATTAGTTTGGTTTTTACAGCCGTCAAAAGCAAGCAAAATTATGTGTTTTCGGAGAAATGGAAAAAGTAGAGTATCGTTCGGTGATTAAGTTCCTCCACAAAAAGGGTAAAACGAATGAATGTGCAAATCAAAGCCGACCTGAACGAGGTTTATGGTGAGGTTGCACCTTCGTTAGCAACAGTAACATTTTGGAAAGCTGAATTTATCCGTGGTCGTACTAGTGTTTTTGATGAGGAGCGTCCCGAGAGGCCAAATGAAGTCACCACGCCGGAAATGATCAACAAGTTCATAATATGATTATGGCAGATTGTCGAATTAAGCTCCGCGAGTTAATAGAGGTCCTAAACATTTCCTACGAACGCGTACACAACATCATTCACAATCATTTGGACATGAAAAAGCTATGGGTGCTGCATTTGCTGACAATCGATCAAATGCAAAAACATGTGACCATTTCGGATGACGCTTTTGGCGATGATACGGCGCGATCCGAAGGATTTTTTTCGCCAATTTATCACCGTTGATGAAACCTGGGTGCATTATTACACACCAGAAACCAAAGAACACTCGCAACAGTGGCGCAAATGCGGCGAAGGGCCGCCGAAAAAGGAAAAGAGTCAACACTCGGCCAGCAAAGTGATGGCGACTGTTTTCTGAGATGCGAAGGACATCATCCACATTGACTACTTGGAAAAGGAAAAACAATCAATGGTGAGTACTACTCAGCATTATTGGATCGATTCGAAGCCGAATTGCGTCGGAAACACCCCGGTTTGGAACTCAAAAAAGTGCTCTTTCACCAAGACAATGCACCGGCTCACCGATAGGCCGTTGCCATGGCAAAATTACACGAATTGAGCTATGAATTGGTTGAACACCCACCATATTCCCCAGATCTTGCCGCCAGCGATTTTTTTTTCCAATCCTAAAAAAATGACTCGGAGGACGCCGTTTCGCAACAAATGATGAAGTCGTCGCTGAAACTTAGGCCTATTTTGAAGAGCTCAAGCAAAAGTATTATTCGGATGGGATAAAAAAATTGGAACATCGTTGAGAAATAAATCGATTTAATTCCAAAAAACCTGTTTTTTCTATCAAAGGCTAGTTTTATATCAATCACCCTCGTATAGGATAGAGGAAAATAAATTTTTAAAGTTTTGAGATTATTAGATGTCTGAGGATTTTAAGCACTGTTATTTTTAGATCAGAACTATTTTAAAAGAAAATTAGTCACGAAAAAATAAATCGACCTATTTGAGCGTTTTCCGTAAAAGTTGATGAGTACTAAATTAGGGATATTTAATACTTTTTTACATCTTCGCCATTGAACTAATACCATTTTGAAACCGTGCTATAGTCACACAAAAATTCATAGACAAGTACTTTCTAATCATGTATTCTTACAAGTCGTAGGATCTCAACTAACATTATCTTACAAAATGGCACCATTCCGCCATTTTTATTATTCTATTAGTTTTATTTGTTTATTGTTATTGTTGTTTTATTAATTTGTTATCCAAAAATGTATTAATTTAAGTGTTTGGGTTCAAAATTGCAGCTTAATCGGTATGAAGCGTATATGTATATTTTAAAACCTATTAACAAACTTTATATTTTGTCTTGAGTATTTATCTAATTGGTTAGGAAAGAAATAAAAGCCTACTCATTTATAAAAATTTTTTATTAAAAAATAGTACAATAGTTCAAAAAACGAGGCAAATGCAAAAAAGCAATATTCCTAATATCAGTCTTTAACAATTTTGATTAATTCGAGTATTTAACATAAGCAGTTGTGAACAAAATTATTAACTGACACTTGGATGCCGTAAAAAAATTGGAATGGGACACGTTTACCCAATAAATATATCAACAAGTTTGGGTGGTTTGTAAATACCTATAAAAACTTGGGGACTGCATCAATTTCGTCCGTAAAGTAGAGGAATAAATATAGAGAAATGGTAAACTGTAAGTAATAATAACAATAACTAATAAAAAAACTAGTTCTCTTTTTACTAGTTTGACGAAAGAGACAATTTAATTACATTAAGTACTCGTAAAGTTCACAACAAGGGTTTTTATAGAAGGTACAATTTGTACTTTGAAAACGATTTACAAGGAAAAACATAGAACTTAAACATACTAAATTTAGAACTACTTGCAAAAAAATAATTTTAGAATCACAATAAGAAAATATATCACCAATTCCTTTTGAATTACAAATTTAGTCTACAACACCATTAAAAACACTAAAATATAAACTGGGGATTCAAAATAGATTAAAAGAATATAATACTGCATTTTTCTTGGCTCAAAATACTGTTATCCAGTGACAAAATTTAGAAGTGAGAAGGCAAAAATTAATATCCCTACAGGACGTAATATTCTACAGATTATAATCATACATCAAATAAGATCATATGAACAAACCATATATTAATATGGGTTGCAAAACGTAATCCAACAGGGAAGACAAAGAAGATGATGGCAAAATAAGTAGGAACATTTCCTGAAAAACCATCATAGTGTAGTATGAGGACTTAATAACAGGTCATTACTAAATAATAATTTATTTGGGTCGAGTAGATTGAGTATTGGATATTTGTGTTAAAATGGGTTCTTAAGGCACGCTTTTGTTAAGTGTACAATGACAGCATTGATGTGATAATGTGATTGCAAGACTTCTAATTCATTTTTACAGCCAATTAAAACATTGAAATAATATAAACTTCTTTAGGTGTAGATGGGTTTTTAGTTCTTCCTTAACTACAGAACACTGAAAAAAAAACCTCATACAAAGCTACCAATATCAATAATGACATCACTCAAATATTATCAGATGACGTACCAAGCATATATAAACCTTTTTTTAGACAGGATCAACATATAATATAAAAAACAATATCTGCTTAGTTCGCCAGGGAATAACTATTTAACTAAGATATTATTAAAATTGTATTATCAAACTCTCTCTTAATTGTAAGTAGTTAAGGGAGAAATAAAACTAGTCTAGTAGAAGCTTACTAGCAAAAGCAACGACTGATTTTCACAACAGCACAATTTGCATGCATAATGAATTTACTTTATTCATTTGGTTCAACTTCATTGTTTGGAATTAGTCGATTCTAGTTTTAGCTTTAATGCCTTTGTCTTTGTACGTTTTACACATACAACCACCTTTTACAAGATCTTTTAGACGTTAAAGAAGATTTTTTGTTTTGAGAATTTTTTGCTTTTCCTCTAATATTCTCTTTTCTAAAGAGTTTTTCTTTAATCGGGATAATTTTCAACATTATCCTCAATCCCGAAGATATCGTCTTCGCCTAATGAGATGTCACTGAATTTATTGGGCTCTGATTTTAACAAATTTCTATTTCTGCTTTTTGTAACTCAATTGGAGTACTCACTCAATTCATACTACGTCATTAGATTTAAGCAAGAATGTTCCACTCATCTTCTTTTCTGAAACAGCTAAAGTAACTGGAGCAGTTCTGGAAATTGCAAATATGTCCCACAATTTTTCTGCTAACTATTAATTTGTGAGTTCCAGTTCTTCAAGTGGTTTTTGCAGAGCTTTCTCTTTTTGCAACCAAATCTTCACTTCCGTTAATCTGAGTTAACAACGAACTAATTTTTTCTTTACATTCTTGTCGCATCTGATCTGCTTCTTCACCTTAGCTCTTGAAATTTTCCTGGGTTTAGTTATAAGTTCCTGTAATTCTGTTAAATCTTTAGCTTTAACGACTTCTGTGGCTCTAGCAAACAAAAACTTTATACCATACTTTGCTTCTGTCATCGTTTGGAATTTGTCTATTCTAGTTTTCTAGTTTTAGCTTTAGTGCCTTCATCAGAACCTAAGCCTTTGTAGTAAGTTTTGCACGTACAACTACCTTCAGAAGATCTTTTACCTAACCGAACCTAACCAAACAACTTGGTTATACATTTTCGCACAATTTTTAAAATTTTATTGAAAAGGATTTCCGGAGTGGAAGGTCGAAATCGAAACGTCATTGATTGGTTAAAAATGTAATTTTCATTACAATCAATAATTGTAGCTTAATCCCATAGAAACATATTTAAATTAGAGCTAAGATATAATTAAAATTGGTAATACAACTTATCTACATTCAACAAAGTTTAAATTTATTCTGATATTAAAATTAAATGTAAAAATGGATTAGAAGTACTGCAATCACATCATTGTTACTGTTAAGGTTCATGCTGCAACATGAACTATTCCAAATGAACAGTTTTTTCAAAAAGAAACCGCAGAGAAGATGGGTGACGATAGAGCACAATGGTCAAATATGAGGGAGGTCAGTGGACGAAAAGGTGGGGGGAGTGATGATGGTGATGAAGAATCACATCAATGAGGAAGTGTTATTGCAGATTCAGTAAGGACTTTCAAGAATAGACTCGATAAGATTAAAAGTAACACAACAGTAACAACTATTCAATATTTTTACTATATACAATCTTACTAAGTATAAAAAAGTAAATAAAAACCTTTTTTCAAATTAAACATATGTGTGAAGAAACTTTTGGGAAAGATAATATAATTATTAACAAAAAGAAGAATATATATGTATAGATGTATAGATAAAATATATTAAAAAAAGATATATTGGAAAGGGATGAAAAAATTGCATTTTACGATTTAAATAGACCGAAATTGAATGTATTAACAAAAAGAGAACTAAATATGATGGAAAAAGAACATAATTATCTAAAATATATTATAAAAATATAAAAAAGACACTACTAAAATTAAGAAGAAATATTCTTCACATAATTCAAAAATAAGTACACTACAAAATCTACATTAAAATTCCATATAATTTTTTTATGATGTTCAGTGATGACGAGTAAGTGGTATTATGAAAAATGTATATAATGAAAACATCTATACCTATATAAATCAGACCAATAAAAGACATCCAAGTGCCAACTAATAATTTTATTAAAAAACAATTCTTGTTATATTTAAATGGCAACTTTCTCAAGAGCTTCTTCAATTGTGGTAGGCTTTCTTTTAGCTTCAAGTTTATTAACACAACATGACTCGACTTTTTCGAAATTTGGTTTAGAGACAAAATTTTTAATGGTGGTTCTAATATCACATTTACATACCTCATCTTTGTAAGTTTTCATGTCGGTAACTTTTTCCTGTATGTCCGGTATGAGGCTCTTTATCTCCTTAATTTCTTCATCGACTTCATCTTTTTTGTCTTCGACACTTTCCAAATGGACAATTCTGTTGTTAAGGTATTCTAAGGAACTGTTGAAACTGGTAATAGCTTCGTCTATTTGGGTATTCGTAGAATACGCTACTCCTAACTTGTAATAGGTTTCTGCTACCGTTCTGGAATCTTTTGCGAATATATCTTTTTGTATTTTTAGACCTTCAGTAATGTCATTGACGGCAGATTCGAAATTTTCGCTTTCCAATGAAACTTCGCCTAAAACTATGAAGGTTTCGGCAAGGTTCTTTTTGGCGGTGGTACCCTGTTTTTGGAAGATTTTCTTGGCCAGCTCAAGAACCTCCCAAGCGACTTGAAGATCTGTTGGTTCGTCCTCGGTTTCCGCTGCAGCCTCTTCTAAAAAATAAATAATATCTTAAACTTTTACCACTCATATTCTAACGATTAAAAAAAATGGTACAGTAGGAGGTACTATAGACTAGCGCGAAGCTTCATAATTCATATTAATGTTTTCTGCATTTTTAAAATCCTAATAATGATCTTTATTAAGAAGGAAAATGAATAGACTTTAGAGCATTAATTATACCAAACTTGCTTATAATCTTTAGTTAGTTGGTAAATTTCTTGATTCAGCATCCACGATTCAATACCATTGTATGAATATAACACTGTATAGTCCTTATTTTCTATTATTATTGTATGTGTTCTTCTACAATTGATCACCAAGGATTATTACCAAAAGTGTATAATATTAATAAGGACTTAGGATAATGGATTATTGAAATGCATTCTCCAGAATCTTCGATTTTACTCTACTTTGCAATTCAAGAAAAACCACTGCTCCAGGATCACCTTACATTCCGTCCCAATTATTCACCTTGGTGTTCCAATGTGATACTCTTAACACTCTTAAGCGGGGTGGAAATAAAAAGAAAGTATATTAATGCTATAAATAAAGATCTATTATCACATCAAGAAGAGAAAGTCGCAATAGAGCATGTGTGGCAAGCTACAAGAGAAAATATAACTATAGCAAATGATAAATTATTCCACAAGAGAGTCAAATGAAAGCAGGGAAGAATTGGATTGATGAAGAATGCCTTAAAATAGCAGAGGACAAGATGAAGACTGAGGGCACGAACAAATAATATTGATATTATGAACCAAAGTTACAAAGATCAAAGAAGCATAATGAGAAGGGATGTAGATGAAAGAAAAGAGAATATAACGAAAAATAATACAAGAAATATAGAAAAGATTTCAGAAAAAAACTGAAAGGGGATACCAGAATTATAATTCATACATAAAAAAACGGTGGAATACTCACGAGTGAAACAGAATCAGTGATGGGTATATGGGATAGGCATTTTAGTGAACTACTGAGTGAGCAAAGTGCAGATGAGAATGACAATTTCCTTATACAGAATAATGGCATAATAATGTGAAGCAGAGATTAAAAATATAATCAATGGGCTCAAAGATAACAAACGACCGGGTGAAAACGAAATAGCTGCGGTGGCGAACGGAGAGGAAGAACGGCAAACAATAATGTATAGTCTTATCAAGAGGATATGGGAAGAGGAAAATATGTCCAAAGATTGAACCAAAACTTTATTATGCTCCATATACAAAAAGGGGGATAGATTGGCATGTAAAAATTAAGCGGTGTTGCTCTGTTGGATACTTGTTACAAGATATTAGCCAGGATGCTAAGGGGACTCAACAGATTTGCTGATGATAAACCAGGTGAGTATCAGACCGGTTTTAGAGTTAATAGATCAGTGACAGATAAGATTTTTACACTAAAAGAAATTCAGACTACCTGCTATAAATATAAGATAACTTCTATGTTAGGAACCTCAGCCATTATTGTTTATCTGCAGCAGTTACCGTTTAGTCATACTTTGCTCACATTCATCGCGTTGATTAAGCTATAAATAAAACTGATCAACCAATATCTGGTTGTTTGAAACCTGTTTCAGTCCATAGAATCTTTACTAGAAATTGCTTCTCTCAAGATCAGAAGGAAAGTAGTTTCTGAGATTTAAACGAAGACACAATCCCATGTTTGGTCACCCAAGGCATCCAACAAGTTTCATGTTTCGTAAAATTGTCATGAGCATTTGACTTGTTTCTGGTTTCGAATTGAAACAACCTCTGAACGACGCCGTTTTCAGTTTTGGATGGAAACTTTACCTGTGGATGCTAAAGATTTCCTGCAGGGTATCAATTACCCTACACCATAGGAAGGTCACTTAATTCTCAGAATAGACAAGTCACGATGTAAGTCAAACTTAAATAGATTTAGAGGAGAGATGCCACTGTCACGATATACAAAATCCTGAGCATTTATCGATTTGTACAAACTTGAAACAAGAATTCACTCTCCATGACTTAATATCAGCCAATGACAAGGCCATTAAAGCGACGAAACATTGGCAGTACAATATTTGAAGAAGTAATCCGGGCCTGAAAAGTAAATGATCACTAGACTTTGTATGCTATCTACGGTATATACATGACTACTATATCTATCTTATTTGTACGCCAGATGTCGATGATTAAAATTGTCTAGTTTGATTAGAGGAATAGGTATATAAAACACTTCAGAAGTCACTCACAATTATCGTTAAACAAGATTTTAAAATAAACCAACAAGTAAAAAAATTACCATCTGCTCCACCTTCTTTCGTTATTCCATTAGATGTACCCTCGCCGGAACCGTTTGCGACAGTTGTGCCATTTTCTTTTTCAGCATCTGTTTGTTTAGTATCATCGGATTTCTCAGCTTCCTTAGCCTCATTTTCGTTATTCTCTTGTGGTTCTGTACTATTTTCAACTTCCTCATCGTTCTCTTCGGTTTCTTCAGCATTATCCTCTTCTGACGAATCATCATTTCTAGGAACGGCGTCACCTAAAATACAAATTAAAAATTAGATAATTTTAATGAATGGTTGAATATGTTGACGTCTCATAAAAAAACACAATACTTCTTCACAATACTAAATCTACCACTTTCTACTTCCTTTTTATCACACAGGCTTCCCTGTCCTTTTTCATGGTACACTGAATTTTCCCTAATTTAGATGCAATATTCTTCTTCTTCTTTGTCAACCATTTTCCATCCACTCCTGAATGTAGGTCTCTCCCAATTGCTTCCATCTTTCTCTATCTTGCGCTAATCTAGTCCACTGTTTGCCTGCCACTGCTCTTATGTCATCTACCCATCTTTTTGAGGTCTTCCCATGCTTCTTGTTGTCGTCCTTGGTCTCCATTCTAGAATTCTCCGTGTCATTATATCGGGCTACGTGACCTGCCCAGCGCCATTTCATTTTTGTAATTTCTTCCACAATATCCCTAATCTTCGTTCTACGTCTTATCTCGGTGTTTCTAATCTTGTCTCTTAGTGATATTCCAAGCATGATTCGTTCCATTGCTCTTTGCGTTATTTCTAATTTTTTAGCAGATTTTTTGGTAAGGCCTACTGTCTCCAAGCCGTAGGTACAAACTGGTAGTATACATGTGTTATACACCCTTTTCTTTAAGTTTATAGGAATGGAGGTGTTTTTCAAGATATGTGCTAGTTTGCCGTAAGCGCCCCAGGCCAGTTGTGTGCTTTTTTTAATTTAAGCATCTGGATTTGGTTTTCCTAGTTTGATAACATGACCTAGATATACATAATGTTCAAGAATGAAATATTACATAATAAAAATTATTGATTTATTTAGTGCCTCACTAGTTGAGTTTTAAAATGTATTTAAAACTATACATTATTATTTGATCTTTTATAATATTATGGATAAACGTATCTCATTTTCCACATTATTGAAAAGAGAAAAAAGGAAATTTTCAAAATGTGATTATTTTCTTCATTTTAAAAGTCCAACTGACTGGTGTATTCTTAAATATGTAGTTGACATTTTAAAACGTTTTTAGTTGAAAAATTTGAAAAATATTTAATCGTAAATTCATACTATAATCATATATTCTTAATAATAATATCAGTTTTTGTGTGTCATTTCATTTGTTTTTATGTTTTTTAAATGCTGCTCTAGCTCATTCTATTCTCGCCTTAATATCCGTGGCCTGTTCCCATTTTGCATTTAGTAGTTTAACGAGTCCGTCACTTCAATTCTTTGTTAAATTTTTTGTTACAGTGCCAAGGTACACATAAAATACTACATAGTCAATTAGTATGTTACTTATCCGTAATTGTCGAGCAGGTTGTTGCTTTTTGCTTATCAGCATCCACGTTGTGTTCTTGAGAGTACGCAACCTTGCCTTACTCCTCTTTATATCCCTATATCCTTAGAAAATTCTTCTCCCACTCTGAGGTTGGCAGTCTGATTAAAATACAGATAAGTTATTATTTTCATATCTTTGTTATCTATATTCTTATTTCTAAGCAGTTGTATGGGTGATTATGGCGGACCTTATAAAAGGTCTTATTGTAATAATACGAAACTTCTAGGCATATTGAAAAACTGGAAGACTAAAAAACTTATTTGCAAAAGGAAAAATAAATGATAAGCGATCAAAAGAAAGAATTTATACTGCGTTAGATTTAATTATAGAAATCATCGGTTATTCATGTCAAAAATCTTCGCTGTCAACCGAAGACAACGCTACATTATAGGCAATTAAGACGTGTCGTTACCAAAATCTGATTAGTAATTGACCGAAGACAAAGGAAGATCTCCACAACACATACATTGTCCACGCAAGTAAGCAAATTAATTAAACCCAGCTTGTGAGACATGTTCACCCTTAAGAATTACGTTCGGGTGTAACAATTTATTGGAGCGAGGTGTATTAACTCGAGTAAAAAAAGGGTTCACTCCACCCCGCTCCAATGCTTCAGACCATCCCTATAGCACTTTGATGCGCGATAGGGGGCAAAAATATTAGCCAAATGCTCTTCATGTGGGAGTCCTGAGTAATAGAACTTCATCATGGTTTCCTAACCGAATCAAAATCAGGACAGCGTATTGTCGCTGTAATCCTGTTATCATAAAGTGACTAATCCGTGAACTAAAATTGCTTACTTGGGCTAGGTTCAGTTCGGAGACTTGGTGCTCAAGGGGTTGGGCCCTACGTGCCCGGGTTTGTGGGGATTTTGTTAATTTTTTTGGTGGCTTGCGCCGGTTTTTGTTGGTATTTTATATTTTTTTGTGGCCGAGATTACATTGTCCAATGAACACTAAGTGTGTTAAATATAATTATTTAACTTACCAAGAGCTTCAGATTCTTCCCGCGATAATCCAAGGAGCGCTTTTCCGTAGTATAAATATACTTCACCGAGTGACTCGTGCAAATCGTCTTTATGTTCAGCTGCCAGAAGTTCGCTAGCTTTACCTAAAGCCGAAACAGCCGTCGAAAAGTCCCTTAGAATGAAGGCTCGGACACCTTGCCCGTATAATTCTTTGGAATTTTTGCTCTCAGCGTCTACTACGACATCAGCCATCTAGAATAAAAAAAATTATAAATTGCAAAAATAATAAAAAGCGAAAATAAATATACTCATATGTGCAATACTAAAACTAACTAATTATTTTGTTATGTTCGAATGTTTACTTCGTATCGAAATATCGTAGTTAATCGAGACAGCAAAATATTAGGATTAGTCAAATCATCATCATCTTTGGCTCTACAACCCTAAGTGGATCTTGGCCTGTTCAAGAATTAGTCTCCATTCCCCACTATCTTTCGCCCTGGCTTTCCAATTTCTAACCCCTAGATTCCTCAAGTCATCTTCGACTTGAGTTTTGAATCTAGATCTTGACCTGCCTCTCCTTCCGGTTCCTACTGGCTCTTGATAGAATATCTGTCTTTGGGGGTCTCCAGTGTACATTCGTTCTAGGTGGCCTAGCCACCTTAGTCTATTAATTTAATAGTGCGGACGTGCATTTTTCATAGCATTGATACAACTCAAAATTGTAGTGCCTGCGCCATATCCCGCTTTCTTGTACTCCTCCGTATATGTGTCTAAGTATTCGTCTTTCAAAGCGGCCTACAGTCCTTCGTCGCTTTTTACCATAGTCCATGTCTCTGGCGCGTATGTCAGGACAGGTTTAATATAGTCAAATCATATCAATCTCAAAAACTAGTTCAATATTTTAAATGCACTCTACTAAATTAGCCAGCAAAAAAAACTAATATTAAATAATTATCTAAATTAACCTATCTCGGACTATTTTATATATGAGGGGTATAGAAACAAAACCAGCAATCTCCATATTTTCCCCAAATTGAGTTATTGCTGCCATCTATATCTTTGTGTTCATCTCTACAACTTCACAAAAGATTGTGTAGCAAAACCCTCAATATCTTGTGCATATTTAACGCCAAAAAAAATATAGAGAAAAATATCTCCATCGGTCCGCGAATGGCAACACCGGCAATCTCCGTTTTGACCGACCACAGCGTATTACATGCGACCTTTGACGAAATTGCAACACCTTTGAGTGTTATATCAAGATTTTATTAAAAGAATTAGTACATATTTATTAAATCTATTGTTTAAGAATTAGATAGTTTTGGGTATATTATCTTCTGAGGTTTTAAATTGAAAATGGAGACTGACCGTATTCTAGTTACACCAACAAGAGCTCGTAAAAGAATTCAACAAAAAAGAAAATGGAAAAGGAACATTGCTAAAGAACTGCAGTAAGCCGTTTTTTAACTGTTTTTGGTAGATTATCTATTTTGGCGCGTTTATCTAATATGAACTGCTAACTGCAAAAAGGGGACTTCCAACAAATTTTCATAAATTTACTTTATGTTATTATTGCGTTCTTTACACGTAAACACATCGTTTTCAACAAATAGGGGACTTCTGTGTCTATTCTAAGTATATTAAAAATGGCGGCTAAAATTTCTTTAACTGCAAAAAGGGGACTTTTACAGCAGAAGTTTCCTTTTTGCAGTTAAAACACAGTCCGCAGTGTGGTGCTGCGCTCGTGTCGGCGCATGTTTTCTCTTCAATACCAGCACGACTACCAGTAGACAACAGCGGTGTCCGCGGTAGTTCTACTTGAATTATTTATAAGAGAGGTGTTGTTGTAACATATCTCTAACTTTGTTTGCAATGGCTCGTAGCAATGCTAGTAGTGATAGTGATTCGGATAAACCTTGCATAAGAAAAAAGGGTGTTGTGAATTCTTATAAATATGCACGAAATAAATATCGTGATGCAAGAGTTCGCGGCGTTTCTTTTGTCAATGCAGCCGGAAAGGAGATACTAGCTCGTGTTCCCGCCTTAGAATGTGGGTAAGTAGCAGTTTTAGCCATAATATAAATAAGAGTAATATTATTACTTTTCAATTAATTGTGCTTTTATTTTGTAACTTAATATAATAATCATTCGCATTGCATTTGGCTGACATTCTAACACAATTTACTAAGATTATTTAAGTTATGTTAATCTGTCAATTATTTTAAGTTGTTTTAATATCTGCCTCATTTATTTCAGATGCAAGTTGAAGTGTTTGTCTCACTGGAATGCTGAGGAGAAGGCCACGCTTCTCTCCAAATTCAACAGCTTATCCAATAAAGATGAACAGGATGTTTTCTTGCAAGGCCTTATGGATTGCGCTGTCCCTAAGCGGCGATTACCCGCTGATAAAAATAAAAAGCCTAAATCCAAGACAGTGACGTACAATTTACTTCAGAATGGCAGTAGAGTTGCTATTTGTAAAAAAGGATTTTTGGCGAGCTTTGGAATCACAAAGAAAAGATGTGAGCGGTTATCCAATCTGCTTCATAAACAGCAAACTCCTCGTGATCGACGCGGGAAAAGTAGCAGTTATAATAAAATACCAACTGAACTACTTTCGGAAGTACATAAACACATTGCTTCGTACCCCACTAAAACAGCTCATTATACTTCTCACGAAATGCAATATCTGGATTCCACACTTAATGTGCAGAAAATGTACGACATGTACAAAGTTAAACACGCTGATCATAAAATTAGTTACGAATCTTTTTGGAGATACTTTAACGAAAATTTTGATCTTAAATTTGGCCAACCTCAGCAGGATACATGTGTAACTTGTGAAGAGTTATCACTAAAAATTAAAAATAAATTTTTAAATGACAACGCAAAAAGAGTGGCTGTTGCTGAGTTGCTAGTTCATAAGCGAAGGAGCAAAAAATTTTATAATTACCTCAGAGCAGAACGGGAGGATAAAGACCAAACAACTGCCGCAATTGCAATAGATTTCATGGCCAATATATCTTTACCTATTATACCTGTGCAAGATCTCTACTATTACAGAAAATTGACAGTTAGTGTTTTCGGAATTCATAATTTGAAACATGGAACGATGGTCTGCTATGTTTACCACGAAGGAGAGGGTGGCAAAGGCCCAAACGAGGTTTTAAGTCTGTTGAGTAATTATATTGAGACATACATTTTATGTGACCCTCACGTAAAAAAATTGAAAATTTTTGCTGATAACTGCGCTGGTCAAAATAAAAACCATCCTATTGCAAGGTTTATCATGACACTTGTTGAACTAGGTAAATTTGACAGCGTTGAATTGCTCTATCCGATTAGGGGTCACTCATACATGCCGTGTGATCGAGATTTTGCCTTGATCAAGAGGAAGCTAAAGAAAATTGACAGGCTGTATCTGATAGAAGAAATTCTTAATGTGATAATGAGTGCTTCTAAAAACCCGTCAAAATTTCGAGTACATCTGCTGAGACACGATGCTTTTCTCGACTTCGGTAATTGGTGGCCACGTTATTATAAAAAAACGTGTCTTAGTAACTCATCCTGTGGTATAAAAGTTCCCAAGGAAAGAAAAATAAGATTTCAAATTTCAACTTACCATCACATGAAATGCGATAGAGCGGAACCTGGCATCCTCACATGCAGTGAGTTCATTAATGGTGCCATATCTGAGAAGTTTAACCTTCGAAAAATAACCGAAGAAGTGATAGTTTTGCCTTCAACGCGAGCTTACTCTGAAAAACGCCCATTAATGGCATCCAAGGTTGAAGACATTAGAAAAATGCTAAGATTCATCGACGACGACAATATCCCATTTTGGAGGGAAATAACAGAATGGCCCACTGTCCACCAAGTTGACAATTAATACTATCGACTGTTTTCTACTCCTAGTTTTTTTCTTATAGAACTGGTACTTTATATTACTTGATTATAATGGCAAATAAAGGTGTTTTCTGGCAAGTAGTGTTTATATTATTAAATTATTCCTCATAATTTTTATTTGAATTACAGTTAACTGCAAAAAGGGGACTTCTACACAACATTAAAATGTGAATATTATACCAATATAATTAAAATTATTTACCACTTATTTACATCATTGTATATAAAGTTATATTGAACATGTATACCAAGTTTCCTGATTCTAAGTGATTTGGATATATAATTATTTAGTTTTTACCTTCTCCTGTAAAATTTACTTTTATGCAGATGTCCCCTTTTTGCAGTTAGCAGTTCATATAGTAAGCAGGAAATAATATTTTTGCAGGCTTTTTCTTATTAATTTATTATTTGTTTCGGGGCACAAAAAACGCGCCCATAAACTAAGAGTTTTATTCAGTGCTACGAGCATGGACACGTCCATGACTACGAGAGACCAAAGATGATTTAATTAAAATAATCTTCGACTGTTAAAAAAATCAAGTACTGCCAAAGGTCCGGGATCAAAACGCTTACTATAGCCGACAGTTGTATATTTATAACCTTTGCTTTGTACAAGAATCGTCCAAAAATAAGCAAACCAAAGAAAAAAACTTTCATGTATACATGGATCGAAAATGAGTTTCATAAAGGATCCAGTGAGGTAAGCTCCGCTTTATTTCATCGACTTAATGAAACAAATTTGCAATGCATTAAAACTTAACTTTCGAGATTGGTCTCCTCCGCTGAATACGGTGATCAAAATAAAAATTGCATTATAGTCGCCATTTAATTACGCCACAATTACAAATGAATAACAGATGAATGTTTACATGCTGCTAGTTTTGTATTCAAAAAAGAATTTAGAGAAATTAATTATTATGCAAACTTATATTTGATTACAGAATTTCGAAAAATATAGTTTTGTAGTTCTATTAAATAACATAGATGAGGAAATGTATGTTCTGCATATACATTATGTATATCAACTGTTTTATTTCAAAAATGCGCGATTTCCGCATATTACATGATTTAATGATGTCTTTATGAATATTCTTTATAATTGTACTAGTAGACTAATAATTTCTATAATAATAGCTCTAGAATTTTGGATTTTTCAAACAGTTACATACTACAAAATCTACTACGTTACAATAAAATACTAACACCTACACTTTAACCGGTCAACATTCGTTATACAAATATTGGAATTACAACTCCCAGGACGGCTTCCAGAATAATCAATCAACACTACAAACAATAATAATAATGGTAATGGTGGGTTCAACATAATAAGATCAATTATC